AAAGGTTCTCTTGGAAACGCGATATAACCGAACTCCACGCGGGCGAAGCTGCGGGCGGAAAGCTAGTAATCTTATAAATATTATTGTCAGTTACTTAACTTACCACGTTTTCTATCGTCACTACATACGTACAGTAAACAGTATTTCATTCATATATTGTCACGTATTACCGTATTGAACAAGAGACGAATAACGCCGCGTGCGCAGTTAGAGTAACTATGCATTTCTCCTTACTTTTTTCTTTAGATTAACTAATATTAATGTTTCAAGATTTATTATATACATATATACGCGAATGTAAAAGTCAGTATATAAAGTCATATAATTTTTCTAAATCCATATAATCTAAACAAATTAATATCATTTATTATTTATTTTTTTTATAAAAATAAATATATTTTTTTCCACTTAATAAAATTTCCAAGCTTCAATGCCGTGCAATAATTAAATACCTATTATACAAAACACATATTAATTTATCCGAGTATTTTTTTCATAATTTCCTGGTTTTAAGTAACCTTGAGGCGAGGTTGTGTAACCGTATATTTGAACTAATAAACAATTATAAATTATTATATTGATTTTGTTAAATTAATTATATAGGGTAGCAACCGGAGGTACCAGGAAAACTACGAAACATACTTATATGTATATTATAATAAGAATTACATATTAAAACTTATAACCTACACCTAAGACTACATGATTGTCTCGATGTTATGATATCAATACCATTCCATAGCTTGTGTGTATCAGGAATCTTCTGGTTCACACGCTTGGTGTTCGTTCCGCGGAGTCAGCGGCCTCAAGAGTTATATATTATACATACAACGATATTACCCCGGCGATGTTTATTTATTTTTTAGCATGTAGTTTGTACGTGGAAAACATAAGAGATTTGTTACTATTGATAGTTAAATTTTTTCATTCATAAATCTCACCACATTATAGTATTAACGTAGTTTCCTGGAAACGTTAAACGCTGCGTTTGTAGTAACGATGGAAAGTGGTGGTAAATATAGTCGTAATTTTAACTTAAGCTTCTAACAATATATATACTAGTTTTCACCCGCGACTTCGTCCGCGTCAATTACGTAATTAGTAATATAGTTATAGATGACCGGAAGAAATCTATTCCGTCCTAGAAGCTGTAAATAACCAGATATTGGAGTTTTTTTCTGTTCTGAACGAACAGAATTAAATATCCTACGTCCGTCTCCTTGTTCTAATCTATCTCTTCACCAATTTTCATCCATATCCGTACAGCCGTTCTTGAGTTATAAGTAATGTAACTAACACGACTTTCTTTTATATGTATAACAATAGAAATATCGTAGCTAGTCAGTATAAATAATTTTCTTTTTTTTCGAAAAAAATTACTGCAATGGAAGTTTGTTTACAAAATTTATCTCGTCTCGTTGGATGATGTAGAGTACTAACTACTAATGCCTCTCGACTAAGAGCTGTTTTAAGTCCAAGTTAAATATTTACATTGCGGCATATTATATTGAGTGTTTATTATATATTTTATATATATATATACATACTATACATACAGGTCAGGAGAAATACAAGAACAAACAGATATATATAAAAGGTTTTGCATTACTTATAAAACATATTGTTTTATATAATTTTGTTTCTCCTTATAAAAATTACGATGTAACATTGAAAATTAATAAAAAAAAGGTTTGATATATTTTAATATGATTGAATAAATTAAATCGGCATTAAACCTTCTCGAAACTTATCATACAAATAAGACAAAAAAAACAAAGTTATACATAAAGGGTATTGTGTTTTTCCATTAAAAAATATTGGATTCCGTATTAAAATGTCAGATTTTTTTTTTCATATAATATGGAAATCCCCCGCTTTTGTCATTAAAGTTGCAATTACCTAGCTGAGACCGTGACTTTGTTTGCGCTAACTACATATAAAACTTAATGTAATTATTTTTAAAGATAAAAAACTTAATTAAATAGGTTATCGCTTTTTATTGATAAAATTAAATTACAATAAATTTAGCCTAAGTTTCTCTACCTACTATAAACTATCTATTAATGAAAGTCTAATAAAAATCGATCTAGCCGTTCCAGAGATACGCTGGAACAAACACACGGACAGGCAAAAATTATGTGTTATTTCAATACTAATAGACTATACAATTAATTTGAAGTCAGTGGTGGCCTAGTGGTTAAAAGGGCTGCCTCTCATGCATGAGGGCGCAGGTTCGATCCTGGCAAGTACCAATGTGATTGTTCCGAGTCATATGTACTTTATAAGAGTATTTAGACATCACTGATTAATGCATTCCCAAAGAGGGTTGATGTCAGGCAGGCGGCCGGTCGTAAAAACAGTTAGCCAAAACTATTCACAACATGTAAGGCAGACCCTGGCTATAGCTGAGAAATTGCCAGGAAGAAGAAGACTATACAATTAACCTAATTTATTTGTATAATTGTAATTTATTAACTTCTGGAAGATCTTAATACAAGTTCAATAATCTTAGTACGTGTTTCTCGTCACTACAAACTTAGCGTTTCACGTTTCTCATTAAATACGTTACATTAAAGAAGTTTTACGAGTATAAAAATTTTCGTTGTATTACAAATATAATATTTATCATATTTAATATACATATAATGATATTTTTATGATAATTGTTTTATTATTCAACACAATAAGTAATTTGTAAGCGGCGCGTGTGGCTTACTGCGACCTTTGTTTAATAGTAACTTCTGTGGGACATAATATATATATAGTAGCAAGAAAACGCGTATTAATTTTAATATTAAAAAAACTCTCAAATAGGCAGAAGTATATAATAATTTAAAGAAATGAGAGTAGTTATTAAAAAAAGCCAATTTGGGACTAATAACACATAATATTGGAGTTTTTAATCAGTACTTGTACTTTCTGAGAGTATTTAGACACCACTGACTGATGAAGGAAAACATCGTGAGGAAACATGGACTTATAATTTCACAATTATAAGTTTGAAATCACCAACCCGTATTGAGCAAGCGTGGTGATTAATTCTCAAACCTTCTCCATGTGCGAAGAGGCTCAGCAGTGGGCTCTGATAGGATGATGATGATGATTGGAGTTTCAAATGATTCTTTGCCGTTTTGTAAACTATTAAAAAGAGATTCTTTTCAAAGCAATATGGCGGAAGACGTCATTACGCTTTTTTTAAAACTTAAAAACTAATTGTCAAACCATAATCTAAACACGAAATTAATATACATTTAAATGAAGAAATATAAATGCTTAGAATTATAACTTTAAATTAACATTTTAATATCCTTCTCTGCACGTATTAAATGAATTAAAAATTGCATTAATATAACCTTATTTCCATGTATTGTTGTGTAAACTTTTATTCAATAAAAATATGCACACACACACATTTTATTACACACATAGAAAACTATTTTTGTTTTTTTAAACTCGTCTGATTTATTTACAAAAAAAAATCTATGATCTAAGATACTTATTAGTAGTGTTCTGTGGCCATGAACTTGCGGAAGTGGCAAATATGAACAGGTTTCTTAAAATTACTTACGAAATAATTTATCAGACTCAAAAACTATATAGATGAGCACGTATGATAGATTATTTTATTAAAATATTGTTGCGTTTACTTCAAAAATATTGGAATTTACGTCCGGAAATACTTAAAAATTTTTACTGTATAATAAATGTGGTGAAATAATTAAAAAGTATCAATTGTTTTTTGAAACGAATTGTATTGATAAGAATAATTATTTTTGTTACAAGTATAGGTATATAATATAAATGTAATAAAAACTCTTTAAAGAAAATTGCCTTTTAAAAATCCTTGATATAGAAGGATAAAATTGGAAAAAGATAAAATATATTTATCCTATGCTATTAAAACTTAGTTATATGTTATAACGGTAATATATATGTATGTATATAATTATATATACGTATAAAAATACGAATGATATATTTGCATATAAATATCAAGTTTAACTACCTCGGCCGTTCCAAGATCAATGACAACAACCTGGCAGACTTAGCCGCTTCCTTTTAAAGTTTTATTATGTTATATGTTTTTAACGTTTCGTATAATAAAAACGAAATATCCTTTATTATTATCATAAAACGATTATTTTTAATATAATAATGTTTTAATTACATTACGATTTCTTTAATTTTTAATAGGAATATTTTATTTATGACATCTGTCAAATGTGACAAGTCATTTTGTTTAAAAGTGACATATTTTTTTTTGTCATAACGCCGTAAATCGACGGATAATTTGTTTGAGATTAATATTATAATAATTAATTAAGGATAAAGCTACCTTGGTTTTCCATTTCTGTAAAATTATAACAAACCTTGAGTTGACCTTACAACCGCATCGCAAAAACAAATCTATTCCTTTAAAGCTTTAAACTAGCTTGTAGATGAATATAAAATAGTTTACATTTACAAAAGACGTTAAAAAATATTATATATAGTCTTATAGTAATATGATAAATATTTTTGCTGGATCAAATCACATTATAAGAAGTTATTCATTAAAATACTTTCAAGAGCACTATTGAGTTGTATTTCTATCTTCGCCCGCGTGGAGTTCTGTTATATCCCATTTCCAAGAGAACCTTTCAAAAGTCTGGGATAAAAAATCTCCTATGTTCTTTCTCAAGGTCAAATCTATGTCTGTACCAAATTTCATTAAAATCAGTTCAGTGGTTTAGCCGTGAAAGCGTAACAGACAGACAGACAGAGTTACTTTCGCATTAATAATATTAGTAGGGATATATGTTTGTGTGTGTAAAAATATCTATATAAAGGGGATAATCCCAATATTCTTGCTACAAGTCCTCATCATCACTACATACATAGCGTTAACAGTATTTCTTACATAAATCTTAACTAAATATTAACGTAGTATCAAATGAGAAACTTAAAACGTCGTATTTAGTGTTGCAAACTTGTAGTAACGAATTCGAAATCATTTTCAGACAAAATGAATTACTCGTTAGAAGAGACCCCGCTTGCTAAGATCGATTTGACGAAAGACAAGATGTCCGCGTGGCTTGAAGCTCAGGGTAAAGGTCAAAAGGTTGACATGGATGTGTACGGCTCTCCATCACAGAAGGCCATTCAGGAGTTAGAGAACGTGAGAAAACTTAGCAAAGAACTGCAAGATAATGTACAGGTATATAGATCTCATTAACTTATACGAAAATCAGAGTAAACACCTATCAAAGTAAGCTCGATAACTTTGATAGTTACAGTGAATCAATACTAAGGATTCTCTTAATTAGATCGCAATGGAAGATACTTTTGTGTTTTTATAACAAACTAGTTTTTTCTAGCTACGTCCGCGTTTTCGTCAGTAATATATGTAGCTGACCGGGCGTACTGTATTCCGTCCGAGAGGCCATAAATAACCTGATATTAGAGTTTATAAAGTATTTTTTCTGTATCGATCGAACAGAATTAAATATCCTATGTCTGTCTCCTGGGCCTAAGCTATTTCTCCACCAATTTCCTATCATATCCCTACAGTCGTTCTTGAGTTATAAATATATATATAACTAGCTTTCCGCGCGCAGCTTCGAGCGCGTGGAGTTCGGTTATATCGCGGTTCCAAGAGAACCTTTCAAAAGTATAGTATAAAAACTATCCTATGTTCGTTCTCAAGGTCAACTCTATCTCTGTACCAAATTTCATTAAAATCAGTTCAGTGGTTTAGGCTTGAAAGCGTAACAGACAGACATAGTTACTTTCTCATTTATAATATTAGGGACGCAAGAAAGTCGTGTTAGTTACTATCATTATGATTGAAAAACTCGTAACTATCGGTATTATCGTTTTAACACGTAGTAAGGTTAAAAAAACGACAAGTTTCACATAAAATTATGTTTTTATAGCTCATTAACTTACGATGCTTACCTTCGCTTGGACTCGTTATAAATTATTTAATAGTTTTGCAATAATTTTTACATTGTATAACATCCGGCTAATTTAAACTGGTTGTATGTGTGTTTGTGTGTAATGAGATACTAAACTGATTATGATAACTCTTTATACAGTAGAAATTGGTTGTTATATTGGTAGAGAAAATTTGGGAAAATCTATTTATACATATCTATCAATTATTCTTAAAAAACATTTTTGATTTACGTTTAATCTTTTTTTATTTATTTATATATCTAAATTGATGATATGCTGTCAGGCAGGAGTCCGTAAAATGTTTTGCCAAAACTATCAACAAAATTTTCTGTGGAAGAGAAGAACTTGTTGTGCCGACCCTACGTAAAGTGGGACCATCACAGGAAAATATATATATATATATATATATACTAGAGGACCCAGCGAACTTTGTATCGCCCTGTAATCAAGAAATATCTGTTACGTTTTTTACGTTTTGAAGTGGGGCAGAATGATTGACATATTAGTTAGTTGTCAAATCTAATGTCAAAAAAAAACGTTTGTATCAACAACTACTGATAAATTAAAAATTAATTAAAAAAACATTGTCCAGCGGACAAAATTTTGAATCTAAAAAAACTTTCATCAAAATCGGTCCAGTCGTTTGAGAGAAGTTCAGTGACATACACACTCACAGAAGGATAATTTATCTCTTAAAACCGATCTCTGTCAATAACCCTTTACTTTTGTTTAGTCGATTTTTTTTATATTTTTTTATTCAATTAAGTTTAAACGAGTGTGATCCTTTATTTAAAGTTGGTTTGATTGGTACTTAAAGCCGAAAACAATATACTTTTTATTATATAAGTAATTTTCTTAAATTGATCTGTTTTTTTCCTGTGAAAAAAGAATCTTTTTTGTTTAGATTATTTTTTTGTGTATTTCCTTTATATTCGACTTATGTTTTACAAAACACATATTTTTTTTTATCTTTTCGTCTACCTCATTAATCTTCTACCTGGCAATTTCCCGGCTACAGCCAGGGTCTGCCTTACATGCTGTGAATAGTTTTGGCTAATTGTTTTTTACGACCGGCCGCCTGCCTGACATCCACCCTATTTTGGGAATCAGCATTAATCAGAAATGTCTAAATATTCTTAGAAAGTACATATGACTCCGAAAAATCACATTGATACTTGCCAGGTTTGAACCCGCGGCCTCGGCAACGAGAGGCGGGCCCTTTAACCACTAGGCCACCACTGACTGTCTACCTCATTAATGTTATGTCATAATTAGATTTCTTATATATATAACTAAATAATATCTATTTGGATATTCCAAATTAGCGGATTATTTCAAGTAAATATATATATAAAAGAAAGTCGTGTTAGTTACACTATTTATAACTCAAGAACGGCTGTACGGATATGGTTGGAAATTGGTGGAGAGATAGATTAGAACAAGGAGACGGACATAGGATATTTAATTATGTTCCAATATCTGGTTTTTATGACCTTTTAGTCGGAATAGAATTCGCCCGGTCAGATATATTATCAATTTGGAAATCAACGCAGACGAAATCGCGGATAAAAACTAGTTTATTATAAACTAGCTTTCCGCTCGCAGCTTCGCCCGCGTGAAGTTCGGTTATATCTCGTTACCAAGAGAACCTTTCAAAAGTCTGGGATAAAAACTATCCTATGTTCTTTCTCAAGATCAACTCCATCTCCGTATCAAATTTCATTAAAATCAGTTTCGCGGTTTAGGCGTGAAAGCGTAACAGACATATAGACAGACAGAGTTACTTTCGCATTTATAATATTATTAGTGACAATTTGATTTATCAATATATATTATTTTTACCAGGAATTAGAAAACGCAGTACGGATATCTGAAGTAGAAAGCCAAGCAATGAATCCTACAGCCCCAATTCTTGATTACTCTGAGGATCATGAGTTTGTATCGGCTAATCAACTTGATGATTACTATTCCCAAGAAGACAAAAATGACGCGAAGGAGGCTGAAAAACATCGCCTCACAAAGGGTATGGCCCAACGAACGGAAATACAGGAGTTTTATAAGGACCAGTGTGTGTTTTTGACGGGTGGTACTGGGTTTTTGGGTAAAGGTAAGGATTTTGCATGGTTTTTGGTTCTATTTTCAACTAAATATCGAAGTCAATCGATGATAGATCATAATTAATTGTTAAACTTCAAAAGTACGAAAGAAATGTCATTGTTTGACATTTAGTGACACATACCTATATATTATTATGTGTGTGATAAAAATTAATTTAATATAAAAAATTGTTTTGGTATGAAAAATTATCCTAAAGTATGGATTTATCCTGAAAGGTTAAGAAAGATTTACGCGGTAAACTTAAAAAAAAAAGTACAAAATTTTCACTTCACCTAAAAATATATTGTTACCAGAATAAGTGTCAAGATATTTTTATCTGTCAAATTAATGGACAAGTCAAAGTTAGTGTACAGAATTGAAAATTATTAAAGAAAAAAAACTATAGCGCTAAATAACAAACAAATAAATAAATCGGTGCTTATTAGAAGACTTAATCGTGACATTTATTTATTAAGATTAATCTCCATTTTATTAATTGAATTAAAATCATGTAGAAATTACATTAAACATAAAATACTTTTCTGAACGTAATGTAATTATTGAAAAGTCATTTAATTTGTTGAAATTGACGCCAATAATTATCTTATTCATGTTTTTATACTCTTTAATATTAGTAAATATTTCTTTTTTTATCCATTATTGAAATATATATTGAGATGATGACTACGCCATCTCGTGAGATTATTTTGAATTAAAATTAATACATCGTATTGGGTAGGTCTCCTAATGTAAATATTTTTATAAGCAAGTTATTTTTTTCAAGTTTTTAGAATTAAAATAACTTCAAAAAACATATTTGTTGCATGGTTTGGTTTTATGTGTGTGGTTTTTGTGTGTTTTTTACGTTCCGTCTTCCTTTTATCAGAATAAGTGTTTTTATATCACAAGGTAAGTTTTTTTCTTGTTTCTGTTTTTTTGTTTGAGTTCATTGTTTTTTGGGTGTTGGCTTGATTAAATAAAACGTGTAGAAATTAATTTTATGTTATTGTTTTATATTAAAAATGTAAATATTTTCTGACAGTAATAAATAACATAGATAATTAATAATTAATATATATATATGTTCTTACAGATGGCAGGATCAGTCTAAAAGCAAGTCGCGTCGTGGAAAATATTGTGCTCTAAATAATAACATATGCATACATTTATTTATGAAACTATATAAATTAAAGTATTTACTCCAAATGTGTATTATTTTACCATCAATTACTAATTATACGAGATTGTAAATAAACATTTTTTTTGTATGTCGGAACTTTCACAAAGATGACAATTATTTAATATAGATATTGTGTAACTTATAAAAAGTTTGTTCTTAAATGGTATATACATTAATCTGATAATGATTATGAATACATTGAATATAACGACACACTGTCTCCACGCGTGTAATCTAGTGTTGTATATGAGAGAAAGAGACGGAAGATTTAGAGGCGTTACACGTTACGCTTTACGTTACAAAACGGATTACCCTCATGAGATGTTACACTTGAAAAACTCGAAACTATCAGTCTGTCTGTCTACACATACTGGGGAAACGTATACTTAGAGTTAGTATTAAGTAACATTTAAAGATTTTTCTTTATAGTTATACTAGTTTTCAGTGGTGGCTGGTGGGTTATCGAACTGGTGGTTCACTTTACTAAAATATTGACAAAAACAACAATTGACAACAACAACAATTGAATAAAATATGTTTATTTTTTGTACATTAAATCAATGCGACGACATTTTTCTGTAGCGAAATGTTCTATCACCTTTTTATTAAAATCTGGTATTTTTTCTATAAATTTCTTTTCAATACTAAGCACAGAGAGTGCATTTAGCCGATCCTGAGACATGGTATTTCTGAGAAAAGTTTTGATTCTTTTCAGTGTCGAAAAACATCGCTCGCTCTCTACTGAAGTCATTGGTATAGTATAGATGCTCCTTCATAACTACTAATACAAAGTCATTAATCCACGAAACACTCCAGCATTACTGGACTCAATAGTTTCATCGTGACCTCGCAAAGCTAACTCAAATGCACCACAAAACTTGACACAATCGATAAGACGTGATAAAATGTATCTGTTTTTATCAACTTGTTTATTATACTTTTGGATATTACTTCTATACACAGAATCTAGCTGATTACGAATATCGACTGTGCCTAACACAGACAAACTCATTACATTTTGTAGGTGTACTTGTGAAGAATCGTGTTTTTTTATTTTTTCACTTAAATGCGTCAAATCCTTGATTCCAGTTTCTGTCCAAATCGATTCTCCGCCAAAAATAATGCAAGGAAAACAAAAGAATGCATTAAGACGCTCACATCCACACAACCATTTCTTTCTATTATACATTTCACTTTTAAAACTTCGTATAAATGCTTTATTTTTCGATTTACACTCTTGTTTTAAATTTAAAAAGGGCCGTGGCGGCCCGGCCAATTTTATGTTCACTTTACTTTGAAAAATTTTGTTATTTTCTTTAATATAATCAATATTTATACTCATTTTCAACTAATAATAAACACAGTACAGAATAAAAGTTCTATTATAGAAACGAAATAAAAACTAAAACGAATTACGGAAATAATTATAAACAATAACGAATTAACGCGTCACGCATACGGTGAAAGTTGAAACAATACCACTAACGATTAACGAAATGTCAATCATAGCACCCATCCTTTCGGCCGGCCCCTTGCCGGCCGGCTCAATACGTCATACATCGGGTGCTGTCGGTAACCTTCGGCCGCTTCGTGCGGCGCTGGAGAACCGACTCGTTACTCGGTACATTTCTATGAACTATCTTTTGTCTCACGCGCCAGGCGTATTAATGCGTGTCTCATACAAGATGTATTAGCAGTCCTCGTGCACTCGCCGGAGCGCACGATATGAGTTTAGTAAAGCGCTCAAACTTTTTGACCATAATTGGAAATTAAATTTTTTATACCTTTTTGTATGTTTAAAAAATAAATATTAAAATGGTAATTTAAAAATTAAGATGACATAATATTTTGTAATTTTTAAATATTTTGAATTGGTGGTTCAGCGCACGGGCGCACTTAAGGTACAGCCGCCACTGCTAGTTTTCCACCCGCAGCTTCGCCCGCGTGGAGTTCGGTTATATCGCGTTTCCAAGAGAACTTTTCAAAAGTCTGAGATAAAAACTATCCTATGTTCTTTCTCATGGTTATCTCCATCTCTGTACCAAATTTCATTAAAATCAGTTCAGTGGTTTAGGCGTGAAAGCGTATTTTTCATTATTTACCCCCCCGGAACCCCCTTGTGGTGGAATTTCGTAAAATCCGTTCTTAGCTGACCTCTACTCGGTGAAATCCTACCAAATTTCAAGTCGCTACGCCTTATGGTTCCAGAGATATCGTGATGAGTCAATACATAGGTGGAAATCTCTTTTATAGATATAGATGAAAATATTTATGAATACATATTATAAAACAAAGTCCCCCGCCGCGTCTAGCTGTTTGTTCGCAATAAACAGAAAAACTACTGAACCAATTATAGAGTACTTTCCACAACACGATAACGTGATTCTCAAGAAAGGTTTTATAATTTGTTAAGGTTTTGTATTGATTTGTATGTACACTCGTGATGTTTATAGTTTGGATAGGACATGGAATGCTCTTCCACCTGAAATTTCCTCAAAAAACTACATCATGGAGTCTTTCAAACCTCAAATTCAGGCTCCTTCATTATGTAGAATACCACTTATTTTACAGATATGCTTAGGCAACGATAACTACCTTCCACCAAGTAGGCCGTCTGCTTTTTTGGGTTACATAAAAAAAACTAGCTGCCCCCCGAGGTGTTCCGGGATTTCCGAGATGTAAAGTAGCCTATGTGTTATTCCTAGATGTCAGCTTCCTGCATACAAAATTTTATCAAAATCGCTTCAGCCGTTTGAGCGTGAAGAAGTAACAAACATACACACATACTTTCGCAATTATAATATTAGTAGGATTTGTTGAAGATGTCGGGAAAAAAATATGAGACGTATGTCAGTTTTTTAACGAAAACGCTTTGAGATATACCAGAACCATGTATGGGGTAATTGTGTATTTTATATAGATCTACAGAAAAGTTCGCGGTGGCATATGTCTATTTCTTAAACCATAATATAAATTAAGTCAGTTTTGGCCTAGTGGTAAAAAGGGCCGCCTCTCATGCACGAGGGCGCGGGTTCGATCCTAGCCCGGGCAAGTACCAATGTGATTTTTCCGAGTCATATGTACTTTCGTAAAATATTTAGACATCACTGATTAATGCTGATTCCCAAAGAGGGTTGATGTCAGGCAGGCGGATCGTAAAAACAAATAGCCAAAACTGTTCACAACATATAAGGTAGACCCCTGGCTATAGCTGGGGAATTGCCAGGTAGAAGAAGGAGATAAATTATACTACTTTAAAAATTGGCATACATGAAGCGTTTATAGGAAAGCTATTACATTATTACAGTATTGAGCCTTATCAAATTAAATTACTTCATGTTCAAGCCTACATCAGTATCTGTAAATCACTTTTTGAATCATTTAAATCGGACGAGCCATTTGAAAGTTATTATAAGTTTAATGATTCTCAAAATATTTTTTTTTCACGCAATCACGTCATTAATGTTGTATACAAAAGAATATTATAATTTTATTATATTAAAAAACTATTATTAACATGAATAATAATAGTAAAAAAAATAAAAAAACACGATTTCAAATTTTAAAGTATTATTTATTTATTTTATATTTTAAGTACATACGATTTATCAGTTAGTTTTTTGTGGACATGCGCAGATCGCACACTAGCTATGTCCCTTTCACTCTCATAGAAGATCTATGAAAAGAATATATTAATCCTGGCGGCCCTAACAAGGTTAATGGGAAATTATTAACCATTTATTGTATTGTCATTGGTCCTTGAGACATATGTAAAGTTTCAAGTTAATCAGATGTTTAGAAACCGGTGAAAATCGTGCTCAAAGATTCCGTTACATATATACAGCCCAAGATAATATAAGCGTGTTAAAAAAACACGATTTTTTTAGTTCAAACTTAAAATATGTTAATGAAAAATGATGAAGGTACCCGTGCGAAACCGGGGTTAGTACCTAGTATGTATTAAATATAAAAACTAAAGGAAGTTATTAACATTTAAATATATGATAAACGTGGCACGTTTAAACTTTTTAATAGAAAAAATCAAGAGAATATTTTTAAATATTGATATAAGAAATATATATAACGCTATTTTGCAATCGAGTCACAAGGTTCCGTGGTGTAGTGGTTATCACATCTGCTTTACACGCAGAAGGCCGCCAGTTCGATCCTGGCCGGAATCATCAAGTTTTTGCTATTTTTTGTGATAAATTAATTTTACTTTTTTTGTAAGGAAAATAACACACAAAATTTTATATAAATGTCTGTTTAATATATGCAAATATTTAATATATTTGTATATATTAAACATGGTTTATGAAATGGAGTAGGTTCTTCTAACTTATATTATAAAATCAAAAGTTTATGAGCACGAATTAATGTTTGTTTCCTTTAAAAGTGTTTTGTTAAAAAATACAATAATATAGCATAATTGTACGAATACACATAAGTAATATGCTATAATTTAACCCGGAATGACGTGTAATTTTACATATAATAAATGTATTGTTTTTTCACGCGTACGAAGTCGCGGGCAAAAACTGTTATTAAATAATTTGTTATCAGAAACAAATAGGATTTTTACTAACAAGATTTGTCTGTTTATTCTACTTTTAAGTTATTAATGTTTCTTTATATATTTCGTCAATATAAAGTAATCTAAGCTTTACAATTCACATAATCAAAAATTGTAACTGTCAAAATTTGTGACATTTTAGACATTGACATTTGCACGTCAAATGCTATAGTCGATGTATTTTTTCTATTTTATTACGATAAAAGATTGAAAATGCTCAATCAGCGCAAAAATACGGGTAATTCGATCTCAAATCTCAAAGCTTTGTTTCAATGAATTGCTATAATATACTTCCATATAATATAATTTGGAAAGATGTATGATTTTTTTTTATTTCCACTAAAATCATGCATTCAAATTAAAAAAAAAGTGATTTTTGCGTCTCATTATTCCAATAATGTAATTAAATGAAAATTAACGTATTGATTTGTTTAATGTTGTGGAATCTGGCTGTCATGATATTATAATAATAACGATTTTTAACATTTTATTTAAAAGAAAGATGCGTCAGAAAAAATAAATGTCTTCAATCTATTAAGTATAAGTATGTTTTAATGTTCAGTATTCGTAAAATTCACAAAAAAATGTTGCCTTTGTAAATGTATATTGTCTAAATTATGTTATGATTTAAATAAAACTAGTATTCTTATAATCATGTCGTCTTCGTGATCACGATTGCTGAAAAATAAACGAAACGTCGAGAGTACGTAGTTTAAAGTATTAAAAAACGCGTAGTACATACGAAAATATTAATTTTATTTAAATGAATATTCATTAAAGTGTTAATAAAATATAATGTATATTATGACGTTCTTTTTGTTCAAAGTTGACTTCTTGTCACTTACTTGATTATTAAGTAAACATTCTAAGAAAATAACGAAAATCTTTACTTCTAACAGGAACTAATTGATGGATATATTCAATTAAATGCATAATTATATAGATTATCGCATTTGGTTTCTTGGATTATTCAAAAGATTATCACATATTTTATCTTTCAAAGATGTATTCACTCTGTCATCACGTCAAAGGATAAATTTGAGGTTTTACACACATTTAGTTTACAAATTTATTTCAAAAATTTTTATTACTAGTCTTTCAATGAAGTTAAAATACTTTGTTTAGTTCTGGTAACCGTTTCATGTATTGTATAATGAACTCAAGATAATTGAATGTACTTTGACAGAAAGTATTAAAATCTAACACTATTACTTTGAACAGACAATCCGTGAATCTATCCGTGTTTTAAGTAATTTTATCTCAAGAACTACGATAGTTAGAAATTTTTTACATCTATTTTCGTTTCCACTATAACAACTATAACTAAAAAAGTGAACAAATAATTATTAATTAAAATAGTGATACATAAAATATAATTTTATTACGTGTCAAAATGGCATTCATAAACAAAAGTGACAGTATTTGTCAAATTCATTTGTCTATGTCTATATTCTTTTGTCAAGATATTTAAAAATTCATTAAACGGCAATGATGTTTTAATATTTTTTATACCTTTTTGTATAATATAATATCATTGTTAAATTGTATATTTGTTTTAGTTTTAATCGAGAAACTCCTACGTTCCTGTAAAGATATTGACACTATATACGTTCTGGTTCGTCCGAAGAAAGGAAAAGATCCTACGACTAGAATCCACGAAATGTTGGATGAATTCGTAAGTAACAATGAAACAAATTCATGTGGGTAGATTTAAAAGAAAACACTATACGGTATGCACTATGCACACAAGGAAAATTCACTTATTATTCTCTTGTAAACTTATATTTTGTGTATTTAATTTAAGTAATATATATGCAAATAAATATAGTATATGTTAGTGGTGGATTAGTGGTTAAAGACGCGCCCCTCGTTCAGAGTATTTAGACACCACTGAGTGATGAAGGAAAACATCGTGAGGAAACATGGACTTATAATATCACAATTATAAGTTTGAAATCACCAACCCGTTAAGCAAGTGTGGTGATTAATGCCCAAACCTTCTCCATGTGAGAAGAGGCAGCTCAGCAATGTTCTCTGATAGACTGATACAAATAAATACTTAATCTTTATAAGATTTTTTTGGTGGAAATATTATTGCTGAATCATATTGCATTATATTATATTACCTTTCCAGGTGTTTGAGAGAGCGCATAATGAGAATCCTAAAGGTATTCACAAAGTGGTACCCATAGTAGGCAACATGGAATTACCTGGTCTAGGACTTAGTGTTGAAGATCGGAAGACGCTTACATCCAGGGTAAGTGGGTAAATGAGATCACGAACAAATATGTAATTTAAAATGCCTCCTCTATTAACTATTGCTGAAGTAGTAGTAGTAGTAGTAGTAGTAGCTTGGTTTAAGTCCTGTTTTTCTTTGCATACATTTGTAGGATTATAAATAAATAGATGATATTTACGCGAATATCATTATATTTAACAAAGATATTACAATGTTATTTAGGCGAAAGCGTGTTGACAACTGAACTGTATAAATCCTTTTTGCATATTATGTGCCGCGTGACACTACTCACGAACTTATTTATTTATTTTTGCTACACACATACATTACATATTATAGCTATTTTATACAGTTATACAGAAGAATAAAAAATTAAATTTAAAGAATTTATTGTATACTGATATATTTCTAAGTTTTTGTCCAACAATATAATGAAGAATTATTTGTATATTATAAACTTTGTAGGTGTCTATAATAATAAACTCAGCTGCTACTGTGAAGTTCGATGAGAAACTCTCCATAGCTACCGGAATCAATGTGAGTGGGACGAAGGAGATATTGAAACTGGCCAAGGAGTGTCGACATTTGAGGGCGGTCACTCACGTTTCGACGGCCTTCTCTAACACACACGTTAAAAATATAGAGGAAAGGTACGTAAGGAATATATAGGGAAGGTACGATAGGCATGTAGAGGAAAGGTACGATATACATATAGAGGAAAGGTATGATAGGAATATAGAGGGAAAGCACGATAGGAATATCCAGAAAAGGTACTTATTTATTTATTAATTTTATAGGCTCACCAACAGAAATGACAATAGTATTACAATTATTATATAGTTAACAATTGATCACACTTTATAATTGTATTTCTTTTTATATTCTACAGCATGCACTAAATATATTAAACATTAGTAATTATCACAAGATTGTTTTCTTTGGATCAATTATATAATTTAAAAAAAAAAATTGAATTATTTAACAGTTTTATAACAATATCAATTGATTTGTATTTAAATGAACATATAAAATGCAAAATAAATTAAATAAAATACGTTAGGCATATAAAGAAAAGTACATTAGGAACATAGAAGAATCCTTTCATTTCCATAATAAAAAAAATGTAAGTAATAAATGAAAAACGGTTTCAAATTCCAATTTCAAGGAGTTTTCAATTATGAAATGTGTAGTTTAACTGTGAAAGTCTTTAAAATTCGTTCGAATATACATCCCTACTAATATTATAAATGCGAAAGTAACTCTGTCTGTCTGTCTGTTACGCTTTCACGCCAAAACCACTGAACTGATTTTAACGAAATTTGGTACAGATATAGAGTTGACCTTGAGAAAGAACATAGGATAGTTTTTATTGCAGACTTTTGAAAGGTTCTCTTGGAAACGCGATATAACCGAACTCCACGCGGGCGAAGCTGGCGGAAAGCTAGTTTTTAATACATTTTTCTGTAGAACTATACATATTTATACACATGTATATTATATTAATGATTTTTTATCATGTTACAGATTCTACGAGGCGCCGATGTCAGTGGAGGCGTTAGAAGCTGTCTCCCAGTTGGACGACAATTTGATAGAATCTATTCTGCCCGCGTGAGTTTATTTCTTATATTTACTCATACTTATGAATAACATATATTATATTATAATTGTTAATTTATAAGTTTCTTTTATTTATTAAATCCTTTAAAATAGTTTATATATATATTATTCAGTTTGTTGGGTGATCGTCCGAACACTTATTGCTTTACTAAGGCGGTAGCCGAAGAAGCCGTCAGAAAGTACGGAGAGGGACTTCCTATATGTATAGTACGGCCATCTATCGGTGAGTAGAGACAAACATCAATTACACTAAGATATTGAAACGAAACTAATATTTTTCGGATGTACTTCGCGACTTTATAAAGACACTCATATCTGGTTGAGATCACGGTTACTGTAAAGTAGTTGAAAATTCAGGAGTATGTAGTTTTTTATCAAAAATAAAGTCGCGTAGTATATCCGTAAATATTAGTTTCATTTAAATGAATAGGACTCGCGAAAATCTTACATTTCTTCACTACGAAATATATATATATATTTTTAGTTAAACTTTGTTGTTATTGTAGATTTCATAATTACCAAAAAACTGTATGATATGTAAATTATATGTTTTTTATTAAGTTTTATTATTTAGTATGTTTAAAAGTCAGTGGTGGTCTAGTGGTTAAAGGTCCGCCTCTTATTCACGAGGGCACGGGTTCGATCCTGGCAAGTACCAATGTGATTTTTCCGATTCATATGTACTTTCTGAGAGTATTTAGACATCACTGTTTAATGCAATCCCAAAGAGGGTTGATGTCAGGCAGGCGGCCGGTCGTAAAAACAATTAGCCAAAACTATTTATAATATGTAAGGCAGACCCTGCCTATAGCTGGGAAATTGCCAGTTAGAAGAAGATTTAGTATGTTTAATATTATAAATATATTAATATATTGTTTATTAACAGTTATATCAACATACGAAGAGCCTGTTCGTGGTTGGACGGATAGTGTTTATGGACCAACCGGCCTAGTCGTCGGCATAGGAACCGGGGTAATTAATATTGTATAGAAAACTATATGTAAAACATCATTAGTATATACAGGGTGACTGGTGAATTACTATCAATATTTAAGGAGAATACTCGGTACATGATTCTCATTCGAATTATGTAAAAAACATAGGCATTTAATTTTTGACCAAATTTCCGTATAAATAAATAATGTGTACACGTTCCAAGTGTTCCAAGTGTGGACGCGTGCGGCGGCGTGCTGATACAACACCACGCCGCCGCACGCGTATGTGTGTGTGTGTGTATACCTAATCTGTAGGGTGTTCACACGATGCGTAATTAATTACATAACTTTTGGTTAACTTTACTTAGAAGTTAATTAATATTTATGTTATATTAATTTTTATTTTGTCATATATGATCGTCAAATATCACGTCCTTAAATATCGATAGTAATTCACCAGTCACCCTGTATATTATAAAACATCATTAGTATATATGTTTAAGATTCTAAATAATAAAGTTAAAAAAAATAACATATCAAACCTTAATAGAGCAAGAGCCCGTGAACCCCAGACCTTCGTTATTTTATAAAAGCTGAAAGTTTGTCAGCGCATGCTCCCAACACAGGTAAGAACGAAGGTCCATTATGAAATTCGGGTTGTAGTGGCTTTGGCAGGTAAACGGTACTAAAGGTGTGTAAAATACTAATATAGTTTCGTCAAATTATACAGAGCGATTTTTTGGTATTACCTTTAGAATGTTATTAAAAATCACATTATTCATTACCAGACACTTAACATCGTGGTAACCCCTTGCCAGACACCCTTAATGTTCAGGGTATAATAATTCTACTTACGTTATAGTATAAAAGCTGATTTTTATACAGGATACTTGGGTAATGAGTAGATGATATTTTCTCAATAGCCAGATATTTCATGGTGGGACTCACCCTGACCCTCCCACCTCCTATGAGGAGGGTGGCACCCGGCGGGGGTCCTTTCCGCCCAGTCCCGCGGAAGAGGAGGGCTTCGGTCTTGTCTATTCTCACCCGAAGCCCCAACCTCTCTATGCGGCTGATCACGAGGTCAGTTCCGACCTCGGCCAGCCGCGCCGCCTCCCTGTAGGTTCGTCCCCGGGATAAGACGAGGGTGTCATCGGCGTAGCAGATGACACCCATCCCGGGGAGGAGACGACTCCGCAGGACCCAGTCGTACCCGACGTTCCACAGTACCGGTCCCAGGACCGACCCCTGTGGCACGCCGTTTTCGACTGTCCACCACTCTATGGACCCCCTCCGGTTCTCGACTGCCACCCTCCTCTGGGAGAGGTAGCTGTTTATCAGCCTCCTCAGATACAGGGGCACTCCGAAATGCTCGAGTGCCACCTGTATCGCGCTGTGTGGGAGGCTGTTAAACGCGTTTGCGATGTCCAACGACACCGCAACCACTACCTCTCCTCTGCGTTCCGCCTCTTCCGTCACCGCCCTCAGGCGTTTGAGAGCATCGACGGTCGACCGATGCGCTCGGAACCCGAACTGGAACTCTGACAGTCCCGGGCCCGAGCTTTCCTCCAGGTGCCGAACGAGACGGGTGGCCATTATTTTCTCCAGGGCCTTCCCCGCCTCATTCAGCACAACCACCGGTCGCCACGCCGAAGCCGAGTCCGGAGGCCGGTTGCCTTTTGGAAGAAGGCAAAGCCGGCCTTCCTTCCAGGCCCTCGGGAATACCATACCCTAATCACTATATCACAAAAGACGTCCGATCCCTACGGAGGCTCGAACGAGACTCCAGTTTTGATGTACTTGGAATATCCTATGTTATTAATTAATAATAAATGTTAAATTAATAAAGCTTCATGATGTCATATTACATTATTTTTGTTGATGTAAACATATACTGAGCACTAAACAATACATGCGCTGTGGAAATATCAGCTGCGCGCTCAGGGATCGCAATAGACCTAACTCGCCATCTCACTCGCACTCACATATATATACTACCTCGCGCTCGTTTCTACAGCGACCCTACATACTTGTCTGGCAAGGGGTTGGAACTATCAAAAATGTCTGGCTATTGAGAAAATATCATCTACTCATTACCCAAGTATCCTGTATAAAAATCAGCTTTTATACTATAACGTAAGTAGAATTATTATACCCTGAACATTAAGGGTGTCTGGCAAGGGGTTACCACGATGTTAAGTGTCTGGTAATGAATAATGTGATTTTTAATAACATTCTAAAGGTAATACCAAAAAATCGCTCTGTATAATTTGACGAAACTATATTAGTATTTTACACACCTTTAGTACCGTTTACCTGCCAAAGCCACTACAACCCGAATTTCATAATGGACCTTCGTTCTTACCTGTGTTGGGAGCATGCGCTGACAAACTTTCAGCTTTTATAAAATAACGAAGGTCTGGGGTTCACGGGCTCTTAGACTATAACTAGAACAAACTAATTATTATCTGAAACCAAAACACATTTAAAGTTAAATTCAATTTACAAACACAAGTCGCGTCAACAAATACTTTCCCGTGCAAAAGTGAACAAACCAAACGTCATCGCTTTAACGTCACTTCGGGTGCGTTCGGGGATTTAAAGGTTCGGTTCAAATTAAATGTGTGTTGTTTAAATATGTATATATTTTGCAGGTCCTCAGAACAATGTACATGGATTTGAACAAAGTAGCGGACATGGTGCCCGTGGATCTTTGTGTCAACGCTATCATTGTATCCGCTTACCACACCGCAAAGAACTTCAAAGAAAAGTATTTTTATTATTATATTATATATATTAAACTATAAAGTTTACTGATAAACTATTAACAGGTGTTTCTCTATATAACATATTTAAATAAACAGTACATAGATACATTTTATTGCACAACAGTCACTTTGTAATATTGCAGAAAAATTTAACTCTAATTTTTATGAACAACGCCATCAATGAATCATTTGTAGTAACTAAATGTCAGGTTTAATTGATTACCTTTATTTAACTTAGATCATTAATTCCGTATATATTTTTCTATGGTTAGTAAATATTTTATTATTTTTTTCAGTCAAACGTCTGATATACCTATTTACAACTTCGTTTCCGGCGCCCAGAGCCCCGTTACGTGGCGGCAATTTATAGAATACAATAGGAAATATGGTTTCCACAATCCGACTATGAAAGCCGTGTGGTGAGTTATACTTAAATTATTCACCATCATTATCATCATCAGCCTATCAGAGCCCACTGTTGAGCCTCTTCTCACATGGAGAAGGTTAGAGCATTAATCACCACGCTCGCTCAAGACGGGTTGGTGATTTCAAACTTATGATTTGATATAACTCCATGTTTCGTCATGATGTTTTCTTCATTAATCAGTGATGTTTAAATACTCTTATAAAATATGACTCGCAACAATCACATTGGTACTTGCCAGGTTTTGAAATTATACTTAAATTATTAATATATTCATTATTTTGATTTTCACATACTTAATAGTGAATGTCATCTGTCATCTGTCAATGTCATAACTGTCAAATATTTGACATAAACTTGTTCAACGTGTTCTGCCAATGTGTGTTAATACAACCTCTTTTAAGGTACTACGGTCTGAATGCAACAAACAACTACTACATGTTCCTGTTCTACAATTTCTTCCTTCACTATCTGCCGGCCTTGGTATTAGACGTAATCAGCTTCTTGATCGGCCGACGACGAAAGTTAGTATAAACTATTAAATAATTAATTAAGCTTCATAGTTATCTATACACTAATAAAAAAAATCTCTCATAGATTTTCGCCTTAACTTTCTGTAATGATTTTATATATATAAAGATTATTGTAAATAAAGATATAGCAATATTAACTTTAAATAAAACTCCTATACAAATCATCTAATTTATAAACTCTATTCAATATCAGTAATTCTAATTCTTTATCTATTTATATAGTTTTACTTCCATGATTTTTCATTTATTTTTCCAACCAAAACAAATTAAGTCCTTGTGGAGAACAGTTATAAGTTTTTATTGATTTTTAATACGTTAATTTATTTCCAGAATGCTCAAATTCTACTCCAAAGTGATAAAGCTAGCTCACATTCTGTTCTACTTCTCAACTCAAGAGTGGAATTTCTCTGATAGTGGAGTTCGTTCAATGTGGAAGTCTTTATCTGACAGTGACAGAGCGGTATTCAATTTCAACATGGCGGAAATGTCCTGGGATTACATGGCGGAAACATTCTTATTGGGTAATTAAATATAATTATTATTCTTCGATTTTTAAGTATAATATAGCTTGTTATAATTTCTGTTTAATATTTTACTTTTATACGATAATGAAGGAACATAAAGATTTCAATGCGTAGAATGATAATAAGTCTTTGACAACGACTAGTAAAGCGTCTTTTCGCACGCTTGACTTGGGGGTAAGCGGGTATAGTGCGTTTGATTTAAGCTGAGCTTTACATTTGTGTGAGTGTGTACGGATAGTGTAGGTGTGATGTCAAATTATTGAATACTACGTTCTTTCCTAGTTTTGAACCGGTTTATTCTGCTTTTAATCCACCCCGCACCTTCCGCACTTCATCCTTTGTACTGGTAGCAACGTCAAATGTTGAAAACACAATATCAAATGACGAAGAATTTGTATTGTTTTATCAAAATTTTTCCATAATATTTCCATTTGGCCTTTATCAAGTTATGTTTATTTTATTTTAATCTAGAATAACTTTAGCACGTATATTATCCTTTTAAAATATAATTAAATTTAGTTCTAAAAGTTTTTTGTCTAACTCTGCTTTTACTTTCACTCACACAAATGCAAAGCTCAGCTTGAGTCTAACGGACTATAGAAGCGTTACAAAAAGTGTGATCGGGTTAGGCGAACGAAAGTGAGAGGGAGATATAAGTTTATGAAGATAGATAGAGAGGGAGAGTGTTACGGTTTGTATATTACTGTAGGGGCAGGGGAATGAGCAGTGCGCGCTCACGTTTCATGCCCAGTGAATGAAATCAAGTTATACAGGGTGACTAGTGCATTACTATCAATATTTAAGGAGAATACTCGGTAGTCGGTACATGATTCTCATTCGAATTATGTAAAAAAATAGGCACTTAATTTTTGACAAAATTTCCGTATAAATAAATAAAGTGTTGACACGTACCAAGTGTGGACGCGTGCGGCGGCGTGCTGGTACAACACTACGTCGCTGCACGCGTATGTGTGTGAGTGTGTGTGTATACATAATCTGTAGGGTGTTCACACGATGCGTAATTAATTACATAACTTTTGGTTAACTTTACTTAGAAGTTTATTAATATTTATGTTATATTAATTTTTATTTTGTCATATATGATCGTCAAATATCACGTCCTCAAGTATCGATAGTAATTCACCAGTCACCCTGTATATCTCTGTATTAACCATATATAAATACATGCATATATGTACATATTACATATAGATGGAGCGAAAGAAGTTTTACTTCACGTGTGCTCTAAAGCGAACTGATTTTAATTTTTTTTAATAACTAAATGTCAGTAATTCAACTAAGACTTTATTTCATTTTACAAACTCCTTCATGTTTCCACACAGTACTCGAGTTTATAATTCGTCCAACAAATAAAACTTTGATTTTTCAAAATATGACACGATTATCATGCGAGTGAAGTCATAGTATAAAAAATGTGTGTAATATTTATTAAAGAAATATTATTTGTTTGTTTTTTCAGGTTTAAGAGTATATTTAGTTAAAGATGATCTGTCCACGTTGCCTGAAGCTAGGAAGAAATGGAATAGGTATGTATTATTGGTTACTATAACCTAAACTATTGAGTATTGAAGCTATAGACTATTATTTTCCAACCTTTACTAGGCGTTACCTTAATATATCAAAATTTTTGCTCCCCTAAACATTTTTTTTAACTTATAAAAAATGTTTTGTTTCCTTAATAAATATAAATTATAAATTTTAGGAAGAAATCACTACGACATTGTTATCAAAACGACGTTAATATAACATAATGAAAATCTAAAATACAAAATAATTTTTTGTGCTGTCTATGCTTGCTGCTTTCTGCTCAAAGATTTTATATTTGGTTCCAACTTGCGTAGGTTTAATTTTAAGTTGTGTTCTAGCATTTCAAATAGATTTTCTTTTCCCGGTAAATCATTCACAGCATTAAATCCACATTTAACTAAATATGAAGTTGGAAAGGGTAGTAAAATTTTTCTTGCACATTTGGTTGCATTTAGGTATTTAGTTCCAGTTTCTTCAGGAAGCCATGCCATCAATACACATATTAAATAAAGTGTTTACGGATTCATCATTTTGCTACTCTACGAGTTCTTTTTGATACTTCATCCCTACTAATATTATAAATGCAAAAGTAACTCTGTCTGTCTGTTGGGATTTCACGCCTGATTTTAATGAAATTTGGTACAGAGATAGAGTTGACCTTGAGAAAGAACATAGGATAGTTTTTATCCCAGACTTTTGAAAGGTTCTCTTGGAAACGCGATATATACGAACTCCACGCGGGCGAAGCTGCGGGCGGAAAGCTAGTGTGTAATAATTCTTATTTTTTGTTCTAGATTGTTCTACATGCATCAACTATTGAAGATTACTACATTCAGTCTGGTGTGTTACCTTGGGTATTTACTTCTAACAAGTCTAGCGAGCATGATCCTAGGATAATCTACTATAAATGGATATTTTGAGATTTTTTCTGTGATTCTTTTTTACATGTTTAACAACATTGTAAATATAAATAGGTTTAGTTAATATATTTTTTTATGTCACAAGACTCAAATTCCGTCCAATTTTATTATGTAAATATTAATTAGGGGTTTTTTAAGGATTTTCAAATAAAACATTATTTTGTAAATTTGTTTTATTTCATATTCCAATGACAGTAAATAATTTTTGCATAGAAAATTATAAATTGTGGTAAATTACTTACAAAAAAATACTGTCTATGTAAAACTACAATTAAAATAAATTCATAATAATGGATTTTTTTTAAATTTTATATCCAACTAAGCTTTGTTACCTAATTCATTCATAAATAAGTTTGGCTTATACATTCATATATTTTTAATGGAATCTCTATACTTGCTAAAATTTGTTCAAATTTTCAAAATAATATTTATGATACATAATGTCAAAGAAATATTGTGTTCCATATATATATAAATTGTTATATTGATACATTTGTGCCAGCACACATTTCAATTTAAAATAATTAATAATAATTATTAAATAAAAAATATATTTAAACAATGTCCAAGCATATACATGTACATATATATATAAAAATCTGATACACTTATCAAATGATAATTTATATTATCAAAAAACACTTTTATCACTCAATAATATTATCAAAGGATAATCTTTTAACTTAAATACTCTTCAAAACAATTTATCAATACATTGATTTGCTAAAAAATTATACCTATTATTTCAACACAAATGTCTTTTAAATTTGAACGTAATTAATATTGTTATTATAGAACTTATCTATATGAGATCTATTCAAATATTTCACCGTTAGTTAAAAACAACAAAAAAAAACATAGCAACTTTGATGCAACTTTACAAAGGAAAGAAAAATAATGATGAATTTATATATAATGTCATTTTAGTGGTCATGACCCATTGTTAGTAGAAGCGGCATCATGGCCCCTACTGCTAGTATTATGACGTCACAGGGTTGCAACCCCCCAAAACCCTTTTTGGGGGTCGCGCCCTCTTGCAGGGGTAACAACGTGTGTGTGTGTGAGTGTGTGTGCGGATGTGTGAGTTCTGATAAAACATGAACTGTTGCTACGTAGAGGAATGTACCCGCTGAGAATAACATGGCTATACCTGGAAAAACATTATTAAAGATTACTTATTTATATTCAAACAAAATCAATAAAAAAATATAGTTTTCGTACAAAACCAGTACGTTTAAATAACATTCACAACTTTACTAGAACAAACTAATTATTTTAAACCAAAACACATTAAATAATATATTTCATATGAAATTGTATAAAACAGCTGTATAACTCTTTGCCTATAAGTGTTGTAAATTCAAAATCTCTAAATATATTTAAAAAACGATTAAGAATCCATATACCTATTAGATTTCACTGATCTTGTTTAATATCACTACTGTTTATTATTTATAATCTTAATTGTATTTATAATTTTAAAATTTCTTTTTAAGCGAACTTTGTTCTTTTTGGAAATAAACTTCTTTAACCTGAATTAATTGAAGTTATTTTGGTCATAATTAAGTATATTATTATTTAATTACCTGTAGCGTTGAAATCGCTTAGCGTCTGTTTGCTCTCATTCCCAATACCGAAGTACGTGAGTAAGGCAAGAGATGGCGCTGCGCACGAGAAAATAAGTAAATGCTTCCTTATACGATTCCTGAATACATAAAATGGTTATGATTAAAAACATTATAATATTATATAAATATATATTACAAATCGTTGGGGATAGCGCAAATCCGCGTAACTAGCAATGGATAATTCCACGTATCTACAAATAAATTTAACACTAAATAATTACTAATTGTGAAAAAAATTACTTTAAAAGTCGTTAATGTAGAAAAAAATCATCTCAAACTTTCTTCTGATGATCTGCTTCTAATGCTCGGAATTATCCGATGCTAGTTACGAGGATTTTCACTATTACCTAAGATATCAGACAGTTAAATCTTGCTGTGACGTACAATCAATCCAAAATGATTTGAATAGTATTCAACATTGGTGTGCACTCAACAACATGAAATTAAACCCAAAAAAATGTTACCACATTCGTTTTACCAAATTAAAAATGAACGCTTATCCAGCTGAATACACAATTGATGGAGAATCTGTTGAACAAGTCGATGACGTTCGTGATCTGGGGATTATAATCGACCAGAAACTCACATTTATACCCCATATCGAAACCATAGTCAAGAAGGCATCACAAATGATCGGTTTCATAAAGAGAAACACAAAACCTTTTAACATTAAAACCAAGATCTCCCTGTATAACGCTCTTGTACGAAGTATTCTTGAATACGCGTCCCAAGTATGGAACCCCACGTATACAGTCCAATCACAGAGGATAGAAAATTTACAACGTGCATTTACCAGATCTCTCGCCTTTAATTGTAGTGGAATATCTCACAGAACACCTTATGACACGCGTTTAAATTTTTTTAAAATGGAAACCTTATGTAAACGTGCGCAAATGCACGATTTAATTTTCCTATATAAAATTATTAACGGGGTAGTTAAGAGCGAGCACCTTCTGTCGTACATTGACATCTCAGTACTCAGGAGACCCCCCAGAAAGCCTATTTATCATATATTCTACACAGCGGCCTCTCGCACCAACATTGGCAAACACTGTCCCATACATAGACTTTGTTCCGAATACAACAAAATATGCTCCAAAATCCCGCATTTGGACGTGTTTGCTGATGCCTTGCCCAAATTTAAAAACAAAATCCACCAAATAACACCATAGTTTGTCACATAGTTAATCACATTTTGTCACATGTTTTTATTTTAATGATTTATAGTTTTTTTTTTTTGTAGTTATAGTATAGTTTTTTTTTTTATGATTTATACTTTTTCTTGTAGTTTTGTATATTGTTATTTTATTATAAGGTAGACAATAAGTTTTATTTTTTTTCTTTTTGTGAATGTTGTGTACGTCTCTAATTGTCACTCTTATCAGGTCCTAGATTTACCAATTTTATATGTTTGTTTATGTGTGTTAAATAACTGTGACGTTGATGTACCTTTAAATAAATAAATAAATAAAGATATATATAGTATAGAATAGTCTCATATTCTCACGAGTAATACTTTATTTATTGAAATAAGTTATATATTTTAAGTTATTAGTTAATTAATTCCTTAAATTAATAAAAATATTTGAAATAGCACTTAAATAACAAACATGGTAAAGATCTTTAGAATGGAATTTGTGAATTTCACTCTGTTGCTGGTCGATTTTAAGGAATGTGAATTGCGTAAATACTTCAAATTTAAGGACTTTGATCTTCTGATCGGTCCAGGGCTTGAAGTTGTGTAACAGATAAAACGAAATATTAAAATTTATTGAGTTTTTCTTTCAGTTGGCATCTGTTTTATTTATATATTTGCATAATATGAGTTGTGGTGATGTTTACATAGTTTTTTTTATTTCTTACTTTATTGTCGAACTTATATAAAATTTTTAATAAACGAAGTAATCTAAATATTAATATATAGGTAATTATATAATTCGATGAGACAGATCGATTGTTTGGCAGTGCCGAACAGTGCAGTAGGTACATAAAGTATGAAGAGAGTGGTTATTCTGTGTCGCACTAAATATATATTTTTAAATTAATCTATTAAATATGTATATTTAATTATAACAAAAACGTATAACTATAAGATATTTTGTTGGAAGACGATTGTAAATATTACAGGTTTTAGGAATATATTAAAACAGTTTATTCCGCAAATGTTATTTTAAACTCCTAATTCAAGAAGTAATTTTTTTCTAATAACATTTTTGACATTAGTTTTAAAGGAACGTCTTTAACGTGAAACAAACAAAAATACACGAAGTATATATATGAAAGAAAATATTCCTTTCGAAAATCTACATATATTGATTTGCAAGAAAATTGTAGGTGTTATTATTATAAAGAGAATTAAGTAAATCACCAAACGCATTTAGCATTAAAGTATTTTAAATCTGGAATGAACCGAAGTTGAAATTAAAACTACTAGTAAGTATAGTAAATAAGTAATATAGTACCCGCGTTATCATACAATGCGTTATCATACAATAACATATTTTTTATTGCGATCACTATATACATATCATCTTCATCTTATATAAATATACATTAGTGAGAGACTGGAGCCCGTGATGGGTATAGGAATACCTGTGTTACAGGTCTCCAGGTCCCCACACCGCCATATTGACAAAGTGCGCTCTTAACATTAAACTGTTGTATATACGTTTGAGAGATTGTTTCAGTGTGTTAGAGTGTATGTATGTGTGTATGTGTGTGTGTGTATGTGTGTGTGTGTGCGTGTGTGTGTGTGTATGTATTAATGTGAGTGCCTACTTATAATAAGTTATGCAATTAGAATGATAGTCCATTACTGTTGAAGAATAGGGTTATAGATTGAAAATTACCGTGTTCAACGTTTCCTATGGTACATTTGTACCTTAACGTACCTTTCAAGTCCAGCATGCATAAGAAATGTTACAAGACCGAATGCCGCCGGTGCTTTATGTAACATGATTGCCAAAAAAACTATAAGCTCTACTTCAGCATGAGAAGTGGTAGCAGCTGCGCCTAATGCTATACCATCCGCTGAAATTAAATACCAATATATATTAGAATAAAGAATTAATTATTAATTAATTAATTATAGATCCTGGCCCGGACAAGTACCAATGTGATTTTTCCGAGTCATATGTACTTTCTAAGAGTATTTAGACATCACTGATTAATGCATCCCCAAAGAGGGTTGATGTCAAGTAGGCGGCCGGTCGAAAAAAATATAGCCAAAACTATACACAACATGTAAGGCAGACCCTGACTAAAGCTGGGAAAATTGCCAGGTAGAATTAGAATATAGAATTAAGGAGTGATAGGTATCAAATTTATATAAATTTAGCTGATAGTGGTCTCCAAAAACATGGACCAGCAGCAGACCCTGGCTAAAGCTGGGAAATTGCCAGGAAGAAGTCTCCAAAAACATGAGGGCACAAACAAGCAGACCGTAAATATCAATAGAAGACAATAGATATTTGGTCTTCATCCATCATTTAGGCTAAAATTATACTGAGATATCTTTTTTATACTGAGATGGACCCCCTTGCTACAAATTTATTTATTTTTTTCTTCTGTATAACTGTATAATATATGTAATGTATGTGTGTAGCAAAAAATAAATAAATAAAAGAGGGGTAAATTTCAATTTTAAGTCAAACTAACTTATAAAAGAATATGCTAAAACAAAAATTGCTTGAAGAACAAGTATATGGTCATTTGATATCAATTTGATGAGCAGATATGGTCGAACTCATTACTGGCAGTAAAATATTGACAAAAAAATCTTTATAGGTATAGATATAGGATAAAATTGCAGCATTCTTTATATCTTAAAATCTCACCTGCGGCATGAACAACCAATCCTACTGTGGCGGTAACATTTTTCTCAGTTGGATTCGAAGTATCATTGTATCTAGCAGACAATTGATCTACAAGTAGCATGAACACAAACCCTGTAAAATAAAATACATTTATTTTAAGTAGCCTATGTGTTATTCCTGGACATCAGCTTCATGTATACAAAATTTTATCAAAATCGGTTCAGCCGTTTCAGCGTGAAGAATTAACAAACATACACACACTCACAAACTTTCACAATTATAATATCAGTAGGATATAAGAAACAATTCTTTACAATTTAATCTATATTTAAACTATCTTATTTTGATGAAGCCTGTGTTTGCATTGTACAAAATTGCCAATATTTTTGGGACAGCAGTTTTTCATCCCTTAGACTTCAAAGACAAAACCTCTCATCATTCAATGTATACAGCAAGTATGATTAATGCTCTAACCTTCTCCATGTGAGAAGGGGCCTTTGCTCAGCAGTGAGCTCTGATAGGCTGATGATGATGTTATTTAAGTGAATCTTACCTAATACTAATGAAATGCCGATGACTGAATGCAAATCATTGTTAATACTGGGCTCCGGTGTGTAATCCTTTGTAACGAGAACTGGCCGTTCTGAGAATAGTGCTCTCACACCTTCTGGTATGATAACAGCTAATGCAGTCCCTACAAGCAAGCCAGCCCCAAACACTGTGACTTTGAGAAGCTTCTCCTAAAATCACACAAAAATAATAAAAATTATCTAGAATTAACATTATTATACTCAAAGTTTATAATTTCGATCTCTAATACGATAAGTTATTTGAAACATTATTATCTCATTTTAAACAAAGTTACCGTGTCGAAATCGATTACGTTAAAAAAACGTGTTGTAGCATTTTTTCTCATAAACGCAGCTTAGATAAAAATTTTAATAGACTCGTTATAAAATCAAGTTTCTATAATACAAGTAATAAAATAAAACTTTTACGGTTTTTCCGATAAATCTAACGAGAAAGATAAACACAGCTGTTCCAATTTAAGTGTTTCATAATTACGTAAATAAGCTATTTATCGATAATAAACTTAATTTATACGACTTACCTCGGACATGCTAACATTAAGAGGGATGCTGCCAGCCACATAGGACCCAACAAGCATGACTAGAGCTAGTAAAATCAAAACAAGGGTTCCATCCATTTTATACAAACTTTATTCACAGAATGTAAACTAATAAAAAAAAATTAGTATGAAAAAGGATTTCAATTTATCTATAATTCATGCTTTACACCATTTGTTGTTTATTACTTATAATTTTATTTAATTATATTCAGTGAAAGTACGTGCGACTATATTCAAAATTTGATAAATTTTGACAACACGACAAATCTGTCAACACTGAAGTTTGACATTTGTATTTAATATTTAATGCCAGTTACGGGTGTGTTCACAATAACGTGTTTTATTAAAAATATGTTGCATTATTACAATACTTCTTAAAGAGAATCAGTTTTATTTTTAGTTTATACATACAATTATAATTAAATATTTCCTAGAGTTAAAATTTGTTAACAACAAAAAAATTAGACTGAAGGTTATATAGATTTCAATAGTGTCATTTTAGGTAAATAGTTAGAATTACGGATGTTTAAAGACTTCTTTAAAAGGATTTCATTTTAATTGATATATTTTACCAGATACAAATGGAAGAACAAATTTACGGAATAAACGGAAGATTATAATTTTTATAACATTACAACTACTGCTATGTGCAATTTAATTATTTTTATGTACAATTTAGGATTTACTTTGATTTGTAAAAAGATAGTTTAAAATTTGGTTTTAAATAATTTATACCTAATACATATAATAAAAGTCACACCAATTTCAAACTTATAATTTCATAATTATAAGTTTGAAATGACCAATCCGTCTTGAGCAAGCGTGGTGATTAATGCTAGAACCTCTCAATGTGAGAAGCGGCCTTTGCTCACCAGTGGGCTCTGATAGGCTGATGACGAGTAGGAAGATCGGCAAATTATATAATAATTATTATATAATCACAGTATGCCCAAAATAAAAATTAAGCGACAACAAACAGAAGGTAAAAAAACTAATTAAATAACAAACAATAATAATTTAAAATAAAAATAATAAAATAAGTAAACTATCTATCTAAACTAAATAATTTTGAGTATGTACTTATAAATAACATTTTATTTTTAAATTTTTTCATATTAGCGAAAATATCTAAATCGTTGTCTCCGCTTATTGAATTATAGGCACTCATAATTCTATTGAGAGGGGAGTAATGACCCAAATTAGATTTAGACATATGCTCTGAAAAAATCGTGCGTTTGCTAGTGCGTAGTGACTTGGAAGATGCAGAAATATGTATCCTCGATAATAAGTCTGGACAATCCAAAGAGCCGTTAATTAGTTTATACATGAACATGTTGTCCATTAAGCGTCTTCGATCGGCAATTGTGTTCATTTTGCTATAAAGAAGGCCTTTCAAAAAGCTTTCAGTTATAACGTAGGACTAATTCAAGACTCTTATAAAAAAGGTCATAAATTAAGGATATATAATATTTAATTAATTTGTGAAAACGAATTAATTATTATTCCGGAGCTATAATTTGGTCCCTACACTAATTATAGCCGATTTTAACTATTATTCATTTTAAAAGAACTTCATTCCTTTAACTATGGCCCATCTATTTTCTTCTTTTTCTACATACACATGTTGGGTGAGTATATTGTGTTTTTCGAGAGTGCGATGCTTTTGTCGTGTCTTCTTCTTTCTGGCAATGTCCCAGCTTTAGCCAGGGTCTGCCAAACTGTCGTGTATACTCTGTCATCGTCGTTTTTACTGAAATAAATGGCGTCAACAAGGTAAAGAAATAGCACTGAATAAGGTTATTTTAATATTAAATAAAACACAGTAATAATAATTTCATTTTATTTTTTCAATATTAACCATGATCTCTTAAGCAGTTACAGTATAGCATAGCATAGTCCACTGATACAGTTTTGTTAAAAGACGGAAAATCGCCCAAAATTATATTTATACATATATATATGATATCGAGGAAGTATTTGACAATAGTCTTGAAATTTTCAGCTGTTAAGTTTAAAATATTACACTGTGTTAATATAAAAAGACTGCAAGACACATTCTGATAGCCCAGTACGTAACACGTTCAGTAAAATTAATACATATTTACCACCGATATTGCGTGAGTACTCTAAACTGTCAGTATGATCGTATTGTTTGATGAATGACAAAATCAACTTTATGAATACTTACCGAGAATTTAATGCTGACAAAACATTCAACTATTAATTAAACTAACCCAGCACAGACAGACATTTTATATGTATTATATATATACGTATAATCATTTTTTTTTTCGTGATATGTGAGCCAGGTAGTTTTTTGGGCTACGTATAACTAAACGAAAGTTATATCGCACCTGAAGAGTCAAAATTATAGTTATATATGTATCTAAAAAGAATTGTAGTTAATACTGAGTGTAGTTTGAATTTAGAAGTCTTCAAATAATATATTTGGCGTATATTTTATTAAAATCTTTTTTAAGTAAAAATTTGCAAAATATAATAAGATTAGCTTTCCGCCCGCAGCTTCGCGTGGAGTTCGGTTATATCGCGTTTCCAAGAGAACCTTTCAAAAGTCTTTGATAAAAACTATCCTATGTTCTTTCTCAAGGTCAACTCTATGTCTGTACCAAATTTCATTAAAATCCGTTCAGCAGTTCAGGCGTGAAAGCGTCACAGACAAATAGACAGAGTTACTTTCGCATTTATAATATTAGTAGGGACTATCAACATTATTCTGAAATTTTCCTCGAAACTACACGTTTCAATGTCAAAGTTTTCAATTATTAAGAGTTTAATTTCTTTTCAGATGCGATGTAACAAATAATATTAGAAATCTAATATAGAACGTCCACTCCAATGATCCCTAATGAAACGATTAATCACGTTAAGATTAAGATTTTCATAAATATATTGAAACAACCTCAATTGAAATGTGCGCAAGACAGACAGACAGACAGACAGACATATTTACACGCGTAGGATAAGAAAAAAACAAAATGATGAAGAAAATTAAGCTATTTCATAGAAAAATATGTTCCGACATTCATTAAAAAAATAAACCATGCATTAGTTTTCGTATGTTCATACAAAAACGTTATTTTTTCCGACTAAGCCAAAACTTATATTATTCTTACAAGCATAACAATCGCGTATCTATATACAGGAAAAATCATCTCGATATATGTTTCATACAATTGATCTATGTGGACATTTTCACTAACTCACAATACATCTGTTTCAATATATACAGTTGCGAATCTCTAACCGACAGATGGCGTCTTATTAAAAAAAATCAAAATAAATTATAATTTTGGCAATTAATGTGTGAGTGCAACTATACCTAACCTATTTTAATTAAGCTTACGGCAGTAGGTAATGGGTATCGATTGCAAAAATACCGTTTAGAGGCACCTAACTATATAGCATATATCAGTACATACGGATAGCATTTAATTTATAATATGGCCGGTTCAATTGTTTCTCTCAAACAGCTTAAGAACTATAAAAAAAAATTGTCCGACTGTTTATTGATATCGCCGAATCGATATACGAAAAAACATACATATGTACAGGAGGGTAGGTAAATAAATGTATACAAAATATATAGATGGAAGCGTTCTTTAAACAGGCGAAGAAAATTAAGTTTATGTGAGCAAATCCGCGGTATTTAGCGAGGCTCACGCGATGGAGGCTGCGGGGTCGCGGGGCACGTCGGGGGCGAAGTCCCGCCGGTTGTCCCTCAAGGAGTTGTTCCTACGGAGTTCGTCTTTGATGGAACTGTCCCGGGATTCCAGGCCGCGGCGCCGGGAAGACGCCTCGCGACATTCGGAAGACGAGCGCTTCGTGTGTGTTCCTAGTGAAGGATAACTCGTATTAGGGTTATTTAGAAATGGTTTTTCACAATCTTTATATATAAAAGTCTCACTAAAACTTAAGTTAAGTAACTTAAGAACGGCTGAACGGATTTATCTTATCTTAGTGTTGAAATGTACGTGGAGGTTCAGGGAAGGTATAAAAGCTGGAAAAAAATTTTATTCGTTTCCGGGAAAGCCCCAAAAACAGCCCTTTTCTATTTCCCATACAAACGTTTTGTTTGACATTAGATTTGATAATTAACTAATATGTCAATCATTCTGTCGCACATCAAAATACGGAGTTTTATGACTTAAGGGTAAACTTCAAAAAAAAAAATTTATTTATTGATTAAAGCTGTACAAGGTCTGTCGGGTCAGCTAGTTAGTAATAAATAAAATACTAAATAATAACTAATTGTCATAAAAAATACTTTAAACGTCATTAAATTCTGAAAAGGACCTAGTTTTTAACTTCTGTCAATCTGCTTTGATAACAGATACGCGGAATTATACAATGCTAGTTACTCGGATTTGTTCCTTTATAACACACATTCTGATGTAGTTCGCCGCTGTGTGTGTGATTTTAATTTCGAAAAAGTTTGATGGAAATCTGTCGAGCAGTTTTAGTTGGACATAACAAACCATAGGTCAATGACATTTAAAATATTAAAAGTAAAGCATGTTTGTTGAGTGTATTTATATTGTATGTTTGTGTGCACTATTTATGTGTGTGCATTTATAATGTGTAATGTGTGTTTGTTATATGAAGTATAGGTGTGTGCTGTGTATGAAGTGTTTTTTTTTCGTTTGTGTGTGTGTGTGTGTGTGTGTGTGTGTGTGTGTGTGTGTGTGTGTGTGTGCGTACTGTGACTTTGTCGAGTATATTATGTATCAGTCATGTTAACTGTTCGTTTGTCGAGTGTACTGTATGTGTGTCAGGTATTTTATGTGTGTGTAATCCTTGCTGTGCATGTCAAGTGTATGTGTGTGTGTAATTCGTACATTGTGTCAAGTGTGTCTGTATGTTTCATGTTTAGTGTGTCATATACGTTTGTCGTGTTATCTGTGCGTGTGTCACGTGTCCCTTGTGTCCTGTCTGTTTCTCACGTGTCCAGTGTATTTCCCATGTGTCCAGTCTGTTTCTCATGTGTCCTGTCTGTTTCCCATGTGTCCTGTCTGTTTCTCATGTGTCCTGTCTGCTTTTCATGTGTCCCGTGTATTTCCCATGTGTCCTATGTATTTCTCATGTGTCCTATCTGTTTCTCATCTGTCCCGTGTATTTCCCATGTGTCCTATGTGTTTCTCATGTGTCCCGTGTATTTCCCATGTGTCCTGTCTGTTTCCCATGTGTCCTACATGTCTCACCGGGCAGGTCCCGCCCGCAGCTCATTATCTCGTGGTCGAGGGAGGCGCTGGCTGGGTCAGCTGCCCGCCGCCGCACGCCTTGCTGCAATCCCACGACTGTATACGTGTTTTGTTGCGATTTATACACATTATATAATAAAATTATACATTAATATAACAAAATAAAATTTTAATAATATGAATTGTTTAAAAATATTATTAATACTAACTTTGTATCCGCTGGATCCACTCGTCACGGAAGAACTTGATCCCAACGGATGTGTGCCGTTCTATGAAATTATATATAGTTTTATGACATTAAAATGTATTTGGAAAATGATATCGCTTTAGAGTGTAATTGAGATAGTAAAACAGCTATTGAGACCCAAATTCTTAATTATATAGGAAAGCCATTCTTTTGTAGTAGTTTTCTTCTACCTGGCAATTTTCCCAGCTTCAGCCAGGGTCTGCCTTACACGTTGTGAATAGTTTTGGCTAATTGTTTTTATGACCGGCCGCCTGCCTGACATCAAACCTCTTTGGGAATGCATTAATCAGTGATGTCTAAATACTCTTATAAAGTACATATGACTCGAAACAATCACATTTTTACTTGCCAGGATCGAACCCGCGCCCTATATGAGAGGCGGGTCTTTTAACCACTAGTCCACTGATTAAAGTAGTAGTAACCACATAAAATTTTCAGCTTACTACAAGTATGTATTGTTACCTGAACATACATTTTCCAGTGTTTTCATACGAAACTGATAGTTTTCAGTATGATAATGCTAACTAGAGGTATATATATGTACATATATAGGGTTGATGTTAGGCAGGCGGCCGGTCGTAAAAACAAATAGCCAAAACTATTCACAACATGTAAGGCAGACCCTGGCTATAGCTTGGAAATTGCCAGGAAGAAGATATATATATTATTGACCTGGTCTAATTGATCGATGGAAGTGTGACTGGTCGGACTTTTCACCGCGTCGAAAACCGACGAGTCACTGTCGTGGTCGGATTGATGGTGGGGTGTTTCCGGACTATCCGGGATCTCGGAAGACGCTGAAAAAATATATATGAAGCTGTATGAAATATATATGAAGCTGTATGAAATATATATGAAGCTGTATGAAATATATATGAAGCTGTATGAGATATAAATAAATAAATCACAATCAGACCAATCAATCAGTCTTTTTTTACTCGACTAAGGCGAAACTAGACTAATAAATAAAATGAACAAACACCAATTTCTTAACAAATAATTAAATGTTGGTCAATTAAATGCACAGTTTAGAAAATATTAGAAAATTCAAAATAACAGTTCGTTCAATCCCGAAGATATTTTTTTTTGGCCGAAGCCGAAGCTTCGATCGGACACTAATAAATAATTCCTCGTATCTACATTGGAAGCATATCAGAAGAAAGTTTAAGATGAAATATTTTATATATTAACCACTTTTAAGGTAGTTTTCACAATCAGTAATTATGTTGTATTTATTTGTAGATACGCGGCATTATCAAATGGTATAAAGATTTACGCTATCATCGACTTTGCAATCTATTTATTATCTGTCATACACATGTGTGTCAAATGTCAAATCTGACGTTGACATTTCGCGCCATTCCGACCATTGACATATACTAATGGACATGCCTTAGTGATGAGAATTGTGGCACTCCGAAAGCAAGAGAGGAAACGAAGTTTCGGTCCATCTTAACCTCTCTCAAAATAGTACCGTACTTAAGACGTTATGAGCCCTTTCTGGATAATTTATTATTTGCTTATGTCATATACAGCTTTACGTTTAACCTCACTTTCTCTGATTTTAAGCATTTTTAGTATTGATTACATATGAATTATACGGTTAAGTTAATTATTTTAATCAATAAATTTATATACCGTGCTTGTCATGAAAACTGAGCTCCAATCATCTATGAGGAAAGAGATAGTGCTAGACCGAAAGCATAGGCCATCTCTCTCACTCTTTTCACCAAAAAATTACTGCAGATTATACGCGTACGGCATGTCCATTAGTTATGTCGATGATTCCGACCTTAGTACTGTCAAATTGTTTTTTAAATAACTTTATACATAGTTAAATATAATGATTATTAATATATATACCATTAGGAGCTATATTTCTTCTATGTGCTCGCGGTGAGGGCGGGTGGTTGTGAGGCGCGCGGGACGCTCCCGGCGCGCGGCACACCGCTGACTGAACTACCTCGCACACTCGACGGAAACGACGAATATTACCTGTAATATATATACATAACTATACTAAACATATATACATAACAACTGCCTCTTCTTCGTCTACCTGGCAATTTCCCAGCTTTAGCCAGGGTCTGACTTACGTGTTGTGAAATAGTTTTGGCTAATTGTTTTTTACGACCGGCCGCCTGCCTGACATCAACGCTCTTTTGGGAACAACAGCCTCTATTACTGTATAAAAATAATATTTAAAATCTTTCGCATTGGTTACAAGTTCTGTAGAAGCAAAGGTTAGAAATTACAAATAAATTTAACAAGTATATATGTATGCACATATATATTAATAAGGGAAAACAAATTTAATATTAAACATAGTGTGCTTTAAAAATGACTGAAGTAAATCTTCTTTGTGAAAAATGTGAGTGATATCCACTCTCACTTGCCTCTACAGTAATACACGAGCCGTAATACTCTTTATCTTTAATAATATCTCCCTCTCACTTCCACACGCCTCGCTCGATCACACTTTTCGTAACGCTTTCGTAACGCTTTCACCAGCTTACTCCCAAGTCGTAAAGAAGTTTAACTTCAATAATAACTTTATTATTATCGCTTTACGATGAAACCGACCTAACATTTTTACATACAACAATATGATTTCTAGAACATTTATATTACTATTTGTTAACATTAACAATAGGAATTTAGTAAACTTATATCTAGTAGCTTCGTCCACTCGTTACTAGATGGCGCTGTCCTCAATGAAAATATACATTTTTTATGTATACGAAAAAATACTTAAAGGAGATCATTCTTTTTGAGCCTTTTCTGAAAATGCGGGCTAACAAAAAAAAAATAGTACATATTCTTAGAATTAACCATTTGGAGCAATAGTTAATATGGCGCAAAAGTTGTAGGATCCAAGATATAGAAGTTCTATGGTTCATTATTTTCGTACATTTATTTTTCTGAAAGTGACAGGAAACATAAAATAATGATTGATATTGCTAGAGTTAAACTTCTCAAGCAAATCATTATAGCAAGAAAGCCATAATCTGTTCTCTTGTACATGTTAGAAACCTGTCATTTTTATGTAATACTAGCGACCCCGACATACGTGGTTCCGCCAAGTATCTGAACGCATGCAACAGAATTTATTTGTTGTTGATTTTATTATTTGTCAAAACTAATAAGTATATCGGGTTGATATTTTTATATATTACAACTACGTTATATAGCAAGTGTGTAATAACTTGTTTTTATTAGGTATCATATTAATTAATAATCTTACCGGATAGCAATGTGAATGTTATGGCATACAAATATTCCTTTCCATTTTCACCGGGTGCTTTGGTTATAGTTGAAATGTCGACCTGAAAATAATATAAATATATTTAGTATATGAAAAAACTAACTATATAGTAATATATACAAGAAGACCCGTCGAACTTCGTATCGCCCTATAATCAAGAAATATCTGTTACTTTTTTTATTTATATTTTTGGAGTTTACCTATTAAAGCCATAAATCTTCGTGTTTTGAAGTGCGACAGAATGATTGACATATTACATAGGTGTACAACTTTGCTTCCGCCGTTTTGCAATAGATGGTTGTAGCGGTAAGTGGTAGTCGAAATAAATAGATCGTAGATGTCATACAATAAGCTTAGGCATTTGTAAACATAACGTCATCGAAATATTAGTCGATTTGTGTCTGCATCATAAAGTTATTCTCGATTAAACATGTCAGCTTACGAGCCAAATTCTCGTCATTTGCGGGAGGTTTTAATTTTCTGCTTTAATATGAAGAAATGTGCGGCTGAGGCTCATCGAATGCTCTCAAATACCTATGGTGAGGCTGCTATTAGTGAAAGAACGTGCCGAGAGTGGTTTCAACGCTTCAAGAACGGTGATTTTGACGTCGAAGACCGGCATGGCGGTGGAAGAGAGAAGGTTTATGAAGATGGAGAATTGGAGGCATTACTTGATCAAGACTCGTGTCAAACGCCACAAGAATTGGCAGGATCATTGGGAGTGACGCAACAAGCCATTTCAAAACGCCTGAAAGTCATGGGAATGATTCATAAACAAGGAAATTGGGTGCCGTACGAGTTGAAGCCGAGAGATGTTTAACGGCGTTTGTTTGCTTGTGAATAGCTGCTTGCAAGGCAAAGACGGAAAGGTTTGGTGCATCGCATTGTGACTGGGGACGAAAAATGGGTTCATTGCGTTAATCCCAAGCGCAGAAAATTATGGGGATATCCCGGCCATGCTTCCACGTCGATAGCCAAACCGAATATTCACGGTTCCAAGGTATGCTCTATATTTGGTAGGACCAGCTCGGCGTAGTGCATTATGAGTTGTTAAAACCGACTGAAACCACAGGCGATAGCTATCGAACGCAATTAATGCGTTTGAGCCGAGCATTGAAAGACAAACGGCCGCAATGCAACGAGATACATGATGAAGTGATTTTACAGCACGACAATGTTCGACCCCATGTTGCGAAAGTGGTCAAGACATACTTGGAAACGTTGAAATGGGAAGTCCTACCCCACCCGCCGTATTCTCCAGACGTTGCTCCCTCGGACTATCACTTGTTTCGATCAATGGCAGACGGCTGGCTGACCAGCACTTCCGGTCTTATGAAGAAGTTAAAAATTGGATCTATTTGTGGATCGCTTCAAAAGATGATCAGTTTTTTCAACGCGGGATTCCTATGCTGCCCGAAAGATGGGAGAAAGTAGTGGCCAGCGATGGACAATACTTTGAATCATAAATGTATAACCAGTTTTTTACAATAAAGCCTCGAATTTCGGAAAAAAACGGCGGAAGCAAAGTTGTACACCTAATAGTTATTTGTCAAATCTAATGTCAAAAAAACGTTTGTATCAACAACTACTAATAAATTAAAAATTAATTAACAAAAACATTGTCCAGCGGACGAAATTGTGAATCTAAACCATTCCCAGATTCCCTTGAACACACACAAAAAATTTCATCAAATCAGTCCAGTTGTTTGACAGAAGTTCAGTGACATACACACTCATAGAAGAATTATATATATAAAGATATATTTAACTATATTTTTCACCTGGAATCTCACGTGTCTTTGAAACATAGCGGGAGCATTTGAACCCCTTTTGTATTCAACACGGAATGACATTGGACTTAAAACGCTATGGGACAATTCCGCTATCTGAAATAGTATAAAAAGGTACATTATAGTACAATATTACATATAAGTGGTATATATTTAGCTGCTATCAGTTTATATAATATCTATGTAGACTTTTATGTACATAGTTATTAAAATTTGTGAAATTATAACGAATTCTAGTCTTCTTCTACCTGGCAATTTCCCAGCTTTAGCCAGGGTCTGCCTTACATGTTGTGAATATTTTTGGCATTTTGTTTTTACGACCGGCAGCCTGCCTGACATCAACCCTCTTTGGGAATGCATTAATAAGTTATGTCTAAATACTCTTAGAAAGTACATATGATTCGGAAAAATTACATTAGTACTTGCTAGGTTTAACCCCGCGCCCTCGGCAATGAGAGGCGGGCCTTTTAACCACTAGGCCACTACTGACTAACTATAAATAATTCTAGAGTATAAAGAATTATTTAAAATTAGTATGTAGACATATATTATCATTCATTTGATAGAAAAATGCTATTTACATAGATATAAATACAGTTTGTGAGATACATATATTAGTTAAAAAAAAGGATCCTAAATAAAATTGCTTTTGCTTTGCTTTTATAAATTTACCAACCAATTCATTTATTAATTTTAATTTGTAACATACTAACTATATGGATCTATGAAATATGGTCTGAAATACATTATTATATAACATAACATTTTTTTTACTATACATATATATTTATCCATACTTACACTAAGGAAGGCGTGTATTAAATCAGCTTTTACTGTAGCTAGAGGTTTTCCTTTGACTAATGCTGTGAATGTTTCTTCCTTGTCAGCTGATAACAAGAGCGAGCCGAACCAGGAGCGTTTAGTTAGCTCTGGAGATGAATCCGGTGTAAGATGTACCTCCTCGGACGAAGCTGGGAGGCATAACATGTATATTATATACATATATATAAATAATAGATATATGTATCATCAGCCTATCAGAGCACTGCTGAGCTGCCTCTTCTCACATGGAAAAGGTTTGAGCATTAATCACCACGCTTGCTCAAGACGGGTTGGTGATTTCAAACTTATAATTTGATATAACTCCATGTTTCCTCATGTTTTTCTTCATTAATCAGTGATGTCTTAATACTCTTAAAGTATATATGACTCGGAACAATCACTTTAGTACTTGCCAGGATTCGAACCCGCGCCCTCATGTATAACAGCCATTAATTACTAGGCCACAACTGACTTTATACAACGTGTAACATAATTAACGCACACCCTGAAAGTAGTTTGTTCAGAATCGGTATCTGGATCGATTTTTATAGTTTTTTATGTAGGTCATTTTTTTCTCAAATTTAGATAGAACTAAGTAAATTACAGTCATCCTACGCACGCAACACCAACAGCGACAGCGGGCACACATCAAATACCTACGCACGTGTCCATTGACCTCCTAGATCAGCTGATTTGACGCCACTCGACTTTTTTTTGTGGGGGCGAATTAAATTGCTAGTTTATAACACAGAGATAACAAGTGTCGAGGAACTAAAACATAAGATAATAACCGCCTTTGTAAAAGTGAAAAGTGACATTGCAGTATTATCTAAAATAAAACCACAATTGCGAAAACGGTCATTAAAGTGCATTGAACAAGGCAGTGGACATTTTGAAAATGTTTTAAAACGACAACGCCGTGCGAGTGCAAATTAAACTATAAGTTTGTTTATGATCTTTAAATTATTGTTAATATTTTGATTCACACCATTTAAACACGCCGACTTTGTCGTAGGTATTGTGGTGTCTAATCAAATCACGCGTTATCAGCTGTTTAATAATTCTTATTTACAAATTTAATTTAACAAATCAGTAATTATAAAATATTGGCTTCACATTTAAAAAAAAAATTCAATGTCGACAATCTAAAGCCTGAAAAGTGTGATGGAAAGAAAAATCATAAATCATAATGTATGTAGTTATTTCGTGTTCTTATTATTACCTAAATCTTATTATTGTCGGATGGCACTCGGAGAGAGGGGCGCGGGCGCGGCGAGTACATAGTGTCTGTCTGTGTGTGCGTGTGCAGCGGAGTGTTGGTGAATAGCTGACTATATTATTTGCACGAAATTGGGATAACTAATTTCACAATTAAAAAATGCTACCGCACATATAAATAATGTTTGGTATATGCATTGCGTTTATATTATTATATTCTAATTGGGGTGTTTGAGGGTGTGCGTTAATTCTGTTACACGTTGTATAGTATGGTAGTCAAAATTAATAGACCCATAAGTCAATTGGCAGAACAAATTGATACTTACTTGTGTAATAATACTAATTATTTATTTTATATTTATATTGTGTGTTTTATATAAATAAATATATGTATAATCCGATGCTAAGTAAACAGTTGAGATGAATAGAAAAAGAAAATAATTTTATATTAAATTAATTCAAACTAAATATATCTTCTGAAAGAACTTAATTATTATAATTCTATGAGATATTTCTGTGATAGCTCATAAAATTTATATGTATAATCTGATGCTAAGTAAACAGTTGAGATGAATAGAAAAAGAAAATAAATTTAAATTACATTAATTCAAACTAAATACATATATCTACTTATAGAACTTAATTATTATAATTTTTTAAGATCTTTCTTTGATAGGTCATAAAATTTTCAATCAGATCAATAAGAGATGTATATTGTTTACATAATTTATCTGGTCTCGTTGGACGTGTGTGTACCTTGCATTTTCCGTCTGTGGAACCTCGGAGAACCAAGGAATGAGTTCTTGATGGTTGCGAGTCGAGCCCGCCAGGGCGCGGCCGGGCCTCCCGCCGACGAGCCCGGGGGACAGGGGCCTGGAACAAAATACAAGACATATATATATACATATACAGGGTGACTGGTGAATTACTATCGATATTTGAGGACGTGATATTTGACGATCATATATGACAAAATAAAAATTAATATAACATAAATATTAATAAAGTTCTAAGTAAATTTAACCAAAAGTTATGTAATTAATTACGCATCGTATGAACACCCTACAGATTAGGTATACACACACACACACACACACAGACGCGGCGGCGGCGTAGTGTTGTATCAGCACGCCGCCGCACGCGTCCACACTTGTAACACTTGGAACGTGTACACACTTTATTTATTTATACGGAAATTTGGTCAAAAATTAAGTGCCTATTTTTTTTACATAATTCGAATGAGAATCATGTACCGAGTATGCTCCTTAAATATTGATAGTAATTCACCAGTCACCCTGTATATATTAAATACTACATACTCCCGACGTTGAGATCTCGTCTGTCGGTATTGATTTGCGTCCTTTTCTATGTATTCTACTTTAGATCCCTTTCACACAACGACTTATCTTGCATCTGTCTCTTTTTTACATTCTAACGGTTACACTTCATCGTATATTAACTGCATAACAATTAACAATTCACAGATAATATATATACATGTATATATGTATGTATGTCTTACCAGCCATAGTCCCTATGTTAGTGAACAGCGTCGCTTGTATAGGCGCTTGAGTTGTAGCTGGCCCGGGGAGGGATGATCTCTCACGGACTGGAAATAAATTATATATATACTAGTAAACCTGGCGAACTCCGTTTCGCCACCAGAAGACTTTTATATAACATTTCGTTTGGTGATCAAAAGATAAAGAATTTTTTGTTTTATATTTGAAAAGGAAAATTTTTATTTCATTTCACAACAGTAATGAATTCATTTCGATTACAAAAATGAAGTGTTATTTAGTTGAACTTCTCTAAGTAAATGAAAGTGAATCCAAAGTAGATACCGAATTGAAGCGTTGTACATGTCCTCAAATTATCCGTTTCATTGAAGTGCTCCTTTGTAAACCACATTTTTGTTTTTTGGTCTAACTTTAACACAAATAAAGCGTATGGTTTCCAAACTCGTGAACACGCAAAATATAACTGCCCATGTGAAAAACAATGATTTTCTAAATTTATCCCGCAAATACTAAATTACATATCTGTCATTATACGTCAATTACATAGCTGTCATTATATTTCAATTGCATAGCTGTCAATTGTGTTTCGTTATTCCACGTTTTATAGTGACTGACGTTTCATGTCAAGTCCCACGGGAATGCTGTCGAACGGGATAAAAAGTATCCTATTGCGATTTCCTGGTTCTAAAATACCTCCCTGCCAATTTTCAGCTAAATCGGTTCAGCCGTTCTTGAGTTATAAGTGCAGTCACTAACACGACTTTCTTTTATATATATAGATAGATATTTACAAGATGGTAAATTTTGTCTACTACTAGCTTTTACCCGCAACTTTGTACGCGTTAGTTTCATTACGAGAAATGTATAACCGACCAAGCGAACAGATTCGATTTGGAGGCAGGAAATAAATAGATTTTATATATTATTGAGCAAATATATGTAAAGAATGTTATGTAATATATATATATATATATATATATATATATATATATATATATATATATATATATATATATATATATATATATATATATATATAATTATTCATATACCTCTATGTGAGGGACTGTGCGGCCGAACAGAAACTGGGGTCATGACAGGTTCGTTGATTATTATAACCGCCTCCCCGGGCTCTCCGCCTGAAAAAAATAAAAAAAAATAAAGGGATGTGGCCTTATATATCATGACCTGGCGTCATGGTATATAAGACAGCGGGAGAACGGTACCCGTCAGTCTCGCTTTGAAAATCACGATGAACGGACGTTGACTTATTAATTAATTAATGTATGATACTAAAATAAATAGATTCGGTCTTATATAATGAAGAAATGAAGTCTTATTTCTCAAGATAAATTATTTGTATTCTGTTACTTAAGTTATATATATTAATTAAATTATATAAAGATCATTATGTATAAATATAAAAATTTTATTAATTTGGATATTCATAATAATTTTACTAGTATTAATAAATGAACATTCTGTCAACTTGCACCTTAACTAAACTCTAAAATTAATATCAGTTACAAATTATTTAAATATATGTTATATAGGTATATGTAATTTTATAAATTTTGAATTTAATTAAAATTTGTTACATAAACTTTACTTATGACTAACACTGTGTGTATGTGTGTGTGTGTATGTATGTGTAAGTATTTGTATGTGTGTGTTTGTGTGTGTGTGTGTGTGTGTATGTGTATGTGTGTATATGTGTATGTGTGTGTGTGTATGTGTGTGTGTTTAATTAAGACCTTACTTATATTCAAACTGATGGTTGGTCCCGTTGAGTTGGCTCTTTGGTGATGATGTTCTCTAACGGATGAGGTCGCTGAAATATAAACATAGTATGTAACATATATTATTATATTATAACATAACTAGAGTGGTAACGATTCGGTGTAAAAGTAATTTGATTAAACGAGCAATTTCTAAATTATTAATTCTACCGATTGCAGACTAATTTCACTAAAACTTCTTTACATATATTTCACAATACAGTCCATTTTGTCGATTAAAACCATTGTTATTATTATTATTTTGTTCATATTATTGTGTTAAGTTTTAAATTGCATAATTATAATGATTGTTGACGTTATCCGAATGAAATTGTTTTGAGTGTGTAATGAATATATAACAAACATTACTAAGTCATGATTGAAATCAATAATTTGATTTAATTTATGTACCTGTAGAATTTTCATTTCATAATAAAAATCTCTTTGTTATTGGTTTAATAACATAGATTAATTCAATAAATGAATTGAATTAAATGTGTATTTAATTAGGATTTTTTTTAATTAAATTAATTAATTTAATATCATTGTGAATTTATATCTTATCGCCGTCAGCCTATCAACGCCCACTGCTGAGCAAGGCCTCTTCTCACATGGAGAAGGTTTGAGCATTAATCACCACGCTTGCTCAAGACGGGTTGGTGATTTCAAACTTATAATTGTGAAACTATAAATCCAGGTTTCCTCACGATGTTTTCCTTCACCGTATGTCAGTGGTGTCTAAATACTCTCAGAAAGTACATATGACTCCGAAAAATCACTTTGATACTTGCCAGGTTTGAACCCGCGCCCTCGGAAACGAGAGGCGGACCCTTTAACCACTAGGCCACCACTGACTATCTTATCATATTTTTATAATTATATTTTTATATTTATTTACAGTAAACATATACATTAATTTATTTTATTTTATTATTGATTATTTTAAGTTAAACCGCTGTACGAAACACACGAGTTTTATTCACCATCTCTGTACCAAATTTCATTAAAATCATTTCAGTGGTTTAGGCGAGAAAGCGTAGCAGACAGGCAGACAGAGTTACTTTCGCATTTATAATGTTAGTAGGGATTTTATTAAATATCTATATTACTTTACAATAACCCTGATCACATATTAACAGTAAATTAAGTATATGTTAATTTATATTACAAATTCCCTGAACATTGACATGAGAACAAAAAATATAATCACTTTCAACAATTATACAAATCTATATATTTTATATATATGAAAATATAGATAATTTTATATATGCATATATTATAAAACACATACATCATAGAAAGAAAAATCACTCTCACATATAAATGTTTATCTTTTTCTACCTGGCAATTTCCCAGCTATAGCCAGGGTCTGCCTAAACGTTTATATATATGTTAAACACAGAATACCTTTGTTTGATGTCGGTTTATTACCTAAAGGTGAGCCGGGGGTAGCTGGCGTACCTCCTAGAGAAGAAACACGATGTGGTGTGTGACCTGAAGAATATTAATTAGTAATTATATATCTTTATATATATAATTCTTCTGTGAGTGTGTATGTCACTGAACTTCTCTCAAACGACTGGACTGATTTTAATGAAATATTTTGTGTGAGTTCAAGGAGATCTGGGAATGGTTTAGATTCACAATTTTGTCGATACAAACTTTTTTTTTACATTAGATTTGACAACTAACTAATATGTCAATCATTCCGTCGCACTTCAAAACACGGAGATTTATGTCTTTAATAGGTAAACTCCAAAAATATAAATAAAAAAAACGTAACAGATATTTCTTGATTATATCGCGATACGAAGTTCGCCGGGTCTTCTAGTATATATATATAGAGAGAGAGTAAGAAAGGGAAGGAACATGTATGATATTTTTGTTCATATTCTATGAGAAATTTAAATGAGAAAAGTTAATGATATAATAATAACAATTAATTGAAGATTTTATGTATTATGATTACAAATAAAAAAAACTTATATGAAATTGAAATATACATCTCTTATTTGAAATTAAATAATAATTAATTATTTCAAGAAATACATTATATATTTAATTAATCAATACTTTATTCTCACTCAAAACACATCTGTTGTGTCAAAATTTTAATACTTAAATCTACCATGAAAAATGTTTTAGTACTGTAATAGTATAATTCTTACCAGGAGGGCTCGCTGATAGCTGTGGGGATGAACGACCCTCACTTCTTCGGGAAGCAGACCTGAAATATAACAGAACAACAGGCATTAATATCATCAGCCTATCAGAGCCCACTGCTGAAAGGCCTCTTCTCACATGGAGAAGGTTTGAGCATTAATCACCACACTCGCTCAAGACGGGTTTGTGATTTCAAACTATACATAAATTACAAATACCTAAGTCTAGAACTAAACATTATGGTAACAAAACTATACAATTTGAGGGAGCGCTAATGTACAATAATCTACCGAAAGAAATATTTAACGAAAAATATTTTTTTAAATTTAAGACTAAATTAAAAACATACTGTCAAACTTTATAATTATATTAGAATGTTTGTATAAATAAGGTCACCATTAACTTTATAAATGTTTATTATTATGTTACTAGTTTAAGTTTCCTATGTAAGTGAACTTTATTCTTAATGGGAAATAAAACATCTCTAAACCTTAAACTTATAATTTGATATAAGTCCACGTTTCCTCACGATGTTTTCCTTCATCAGTCAGTGATGTCTAAATACTCTTAAGTACATATGACAGGGAACAATCATATAGGTACTTGCTAGGATCGAATCCGCGCCCTCATGTATAGCGGACCTTTAACCACTAGGCCACAACGACCACGACGATTTTATATATAACATATTTGATTAAATAATTATTATTTGTCAATAGTTTTTGAGATTTTCTCTTTTGTATATACATTCTTTGGTTACAGAATATTTCTTTTTGTTAAATCAGTTTAATATAACCCAAAGTTGTATTTGAATGGTTATACTTAACATTTTTTTACTTTTATATCAACAGTATGCTATTTACAGTAATACTACAAATTTGATAGTAAAAATTAGGTTAATTCACTTCTTATTGTAAATATTTCTCATGCTACAAATAAATTCAAATCGCAGTACCATCAAAATCAGTTCAGACATTTCTGTAATTATACGAAGAGTGATAGAAATGAAAATTTTATATCGGCAGGGATAGCGCTAATCCGAGTAACTAACATTGGATAATTCCGCGTATAATAATAAATTAAACACTAAATAATTACTAAATGTGAAAAAATTACCTTAAAAGTCGTTAATATATATTTCAACTTTAACTTTCTTCTGATAATCTGCTTCTAATGTAGATACGTGGAATTATACAATGCTAGTTACGAGGATTTGCGCTATAAACGACGATTGATAAGTAAATATTTCATTATAATACCTAAACTGCGATCTTCTGGGTGTTATTGGAGAACCTTCACTTATTTGTCCGAAATGAGCTGACTGTCCATTCACCTGAAAAAAAAATTCTTGAAATGTAACATCTCATGAAAATTGTCCGTTTCGTAACGTAACGCGTAACGCCTCTGAGTGTTCCGTCTCTTTCTCTCATATACAACACCAGATTACACGCGTGGAGACAGTGTGTCGTTATATTCAATGTATTCATAATCATTATCACATTAATGTATATACCATTTAAGAACAAACTCTTTATAAGTTTCACAATATCTATATTAAATTGTTATCAATTCTTTGAGCAAACAGACAAATATTTTTAAATTATACATAGTTTAAATGAAACTAATATTTTCGGATTTTACTGCGCGTTTTTTATTTTTGACAATAAACTACATACTCCCGACGTTTCGGCTACTTTACAGCAACCGTGATCATTAAGACGAGATGTTATAGTTGAAAAGTTAATTATATTTGAAACTTTTGAAGTGAAACTTCTTATGCAACTTCCAATAAGGTTGCGTTAAACGTTCAACGCGTAGGAAGGAATAGAAAAATACGCAGCGGGAGTAAATAGGTGGTTCCTTTGTGATTTGTAAGCAATGCTTATAAAGTTTGTTAAAGAAACAATACGAGTTCAGTAAAATTTAATTTCTATGGCTTCCTTCTTTTCCAGATTGCGAAGTTTTTACACAATTATTTTGGACTTTTATGAACAATTAATGTTTCAGTGTACTTAAAATATAGGACAGTGTAATGATGCATACATATCTGTTTAAGACATATAAATATATAAACATATTTAGGAATTTAAAGTAACCCCATATATGTGAAACAGAATTAACATAACATTTTAGCATAATAACCATCTGGAAATTAATGGAATAGAATTTAACAAGATTTAATCGGAATGGAATTAATTGGAACTGTAATAATAATGGTTATTAGTGGAGGAAAATTAACAAAAATATTTAAGTCTTATTAACATCAAATACTATTTATTGGTGACCACTTAACGGTATGAAAGACCAAGATCTATATAAACCTGATATTGATGGCTCCTATGTATAAGGGCCACGTAGCAATTTAGCTATTTTCATTTTTTTGCTTTTACTTAATTATACTATATTCTACAACATCCATTTAAAAATGTGCATTTTTTGATAGAAATACTTTTATTGCAGTAAAAAAGCATCAGTAACTATTTTTAACATATAAGGGCTTATATACATTATATGAAAAAGAATTAAGTTTACAAAAAAGTGTATCAATCTTAAATGTCGTACATGTATGTCACAGTTGATATACAAAGTATCAAAAGCATCAGTTGTATGTACAATACATTGACATCAAACATACAACGTCTCTACTGAACAAATGTTATTTGCACATTGGACCTTATACATAGGAGACATTATAATCCTACTAATATTATAATTTTGAAAGTTTGTGTGTGTATGTTTGTTACTTCTTCACGCTCAAACGGCTGAAGCAATTTTGATAAAATTTTGTAAACAGGAAGCTGACGTCCAGGAATAGCACATAGGCTACTTTACATGCCGGAAATCCGCGGGTAACACCGCGGGGAACAGCTAGTATAATATATTTAACAAAGTGGATAACAAAAAGAAAGTAGGTCTAAAGAAAATTGTTGACGCATGTGACTAGAGAGTATTCACAGGTGTATGGGTATTTGTAGGTGTGTTTGTGTTATTTTGTCAATAAGTCATCAAATTAATCATCATCAGCCTATCAGAGCCAAAACTGAGCATCTTCTCACATGGAGAAAGTTACAGCATTAATCACCATGCTTGCTTAGGACGGATGGGTGATTTTAACACCGTAACATTGCAGGTTGCAGGTAGTATGTTAATGTGAGGGTAGGTGTATTTTTTACTTACCCGGCAGGTGTCTAATCTTTTCCGTGGCGGGTCACTTGGTGTACCGGGCGCTGGTGGCCTCGGCTCATCATCTCTGGCCGGGCGACGTCGCTTACGTTCTAATAATAGGAAGTAGATGACCTTCTCTGTGTTGTGACTGAAATAATATGATGGATATATTAATTATTATGTTAGGACATCATTTGTTAACATATATATATATTCTAGCTTTCCGCCCGGAGCTTCGCCCGCGTTGAGTCCAAGAGAACCTTTCAAAAGTCTGGGATAAAAACTATCCTATGTTCTTTCTCAAGGTCAACTCTATGTCTGTACCAAATTTCATTAAATTCAGTTCAGCAGTTTAAGTAAAGCGTAACAGACAGACAGACAGAGTTACTTTCGCATTTATAATATTAGTAGGGATATGTTGATCAATAATAAATTAGATTATTTATGTATGTATATATAGTCATAAAAAACTTGCTTAAGTATTTCTTTATTATGTGAAGCAAGCAAAGTGTGTGGAAAGTCATGAATCCAAAAGATGATCCCGAAAACCAAATATATGTTCAAATTCAGGTATTTTTATTAGAAAACCCAATTATCTCAAATAGTTTTAGGAAATAAAACTTTAAATCGGACCAAAAATACAAAGTTACTGCCGGAAAACACATGGTAATATAATTCTAAAGTTGCTTCGCTAAATTTGCACCAAGAGCATTTTTGGCGTGCAAATTGATAATAAAACGCTAACTCTTCGTATTAAAGATCCCTACTAATATTATAAATGCGATAGTAACTCTGTCTGTCTGTTACGCTTTCACGCCTAAACCACTGAACTGATTTTAATAAAATTTGGTACAGACATAGATTTGACTTCAGAAAGAACATAGAATAGTTTTTATCCCAGACATGAAAGGTTCTCTTGGAAACGCGATATAACCGAACTCCACTTGGGCGAAGCTGCTGGTGGAAAGCTATTAATATATATTTTTATATCCATCTGAGTTATATAGAAATATATTAATAATGTTTCTATTATACTTACTGTGGACTTAACAAGTCTTGTATAAGTTTATCCCTATGTTTAAAACATCCTAAGCTGCATATAGCTTGTAATACATCAGGGTCTATTGCCTCTGCTGAAGGCAGTACCCTGGTTTGAACTACTTCCATCATGGGTAATTCCTGTTCCAATTCTCCCCTACCTCCCGCCGTTACCCATGGATGACGTGTTATTTCAGCTAACTGTAAATAAAATCAATACAAAATCATTATTATATACTATAAATATTATATATTACGCTGTTTTATGTATTAATTTGTTAAAATAGGTAGTCTGGTAGTCTAGAAGAAATGGCTAATAAGCCATAAGGCCGCCTTTTGTTTTACCATTAGTTTTTAGTATGTACTTTTCTGTAATTGTTTGTATTGTAATTGTGGTGTACAAAAAAGAGTAATAAATAAAATAATAGTATGATGTAAGTGCTATGCAGGCAGATCTTACATATATAATTCTCGTGTCGTGGTGTTATAGAATTCCTGCGAATCGTCTTGACCGATGCTGATGAAATTTTGTGATAATATTGATTAGGTCTGAGAATCGGTCAACATCTATTTTTCATACTAATACATCTAAGTCATAATGGTTGTTCACTCTTAATAATTTTTTCGGACGACATTTTTTGTTTTTATTTTTTAATAGTGTAGCATTATAAAATATATGCAACCCAAAATTTATACTTCTTTATCACCAACCTCTATTTTTTATATGGCAAAAATTTGCTGAGTCAGCTATTTACTTTATGCGGTTCTGTCATTCATTTTTACTAAGCACAATACATACATGACAAATTTAATAAACTTTTATTTAATACTACAGTGAACATAAAATATTAATATATAATATGCTATCAATTTATGGAAATACTTTCACTCATAACACAATGTTTTTAGAGATACACATGTATTTAATATATATCATCATCAGCCTATCAGAGCCCACTGCTGAGCCTCTTCTCACATGGAGAAGGTTAGAGCATTAATCACCATGCTCAAGACGGGTTGGTGATTTCAAACTTATAATTATGAAATATTAAGTCCATGTTTTCACAATGTTTTCCTTCATCAGTCAGTGATGTCTAAATACTCTTAAAGTACATATGACTCAGAACAATCACAATGGTACTTGCCAGGATCGAACCCGCGTCCTCATGCATGAGAGGCGGGCATTTGACCAATAGGCCACATCTGAGGTATTTAATTTATATTGTTACAATGTTATGTATAAAGGAAGTCAGTGGTGGCCTAATGGTTAGAGGGTCCGCCTCTCGTTGCCGAGAGCGCGGGATCGATCCTGGCAAGTGCCAATGTGATTTTTCCGAGTCATATATACTTATAAGAGTATTTAGACATCACTGATTAATGCATTCCCAAAGAGGGTTGATGTCAGGCAGGCGGCCGGTAGTAAAAAACATATAGCCAAAACTATTCACAACATGTAAGGCAGACCCTGGCTATAGCCGGGAAATTGCTAGGTAGAAGAAAAATGTTATGTATAAATTACTAATATTATACTAACAGTCATTCGTTTTTCTGGATTGACTTCAATCATTCCCCGCAGTAATTGTTGACAATCGGGCGGTACGAAGTGTGGTACATGGAAAACACCTCTTTTAACCTGAAATTAAGAATAAAAAAAGTGATTTTATATTAAATATTATGTATAAAATTCTCGTGTCACAATGTTAGTTATCATACTTCTGAAACAGCTTGACCAATTTTAATGGAATTTTATTTGCTTTTTCAAGAGGTCTTAGAGACAGCTGTTATTTATTTTTCATACCCCTAAGTGATATGGATACTCCATAGAGATAATTAATTAATGATATGTATAATTTTGAACAATAATATATATATATGTTTGGTGTTTTGTCACTTTTATTTTAAACAAAAATCCTCATCATTCCCAGCACTACTTGCCTCTTTCATTTACCACAGTCACAAGCTTATAATCATTTACTTTTTTTTTCTAAACTAGAAATTCCTAAGAAATAATTGGCAATACAATGATTACCGGATCAGCTAGTATACACATAAAATACATAATAAATAAACGCCATTCGTTTTATAGCCATGATTTACAAACATTTCAAATATATTTAAATAAAACCAATATCTTTCGGATATACTACGCGACTTTGTTTTTGATCAAAAAATACACACTCTCGACATTTCGACTGCTTTACAGCAACCGTGATCACGGGCAGACGAGATGTGATCACGATGGCTTGCTATTTTTATTTTAAATGAATAAGACTCGCGAAAATCTTAGAAGTTAGATCTCATTATTAATATAACTTAAAATTTAAATACCTTTTCGAGAAGTTGCCGTAAATTATCGTCATCGAAAGGCAGTGCTCCAACCAGTAGGGCATAAAGTATAACACCACACGACCAGACATCAGCCCGTCTTCCATCATATTTTTCACCCTATGAACATTAAAATTAAATAAATATAGCATTATTCAGACTTTATTTCTTTATAATTACCTATTTCAAGTTTCGAAATTTTGACAGTTAGTGAAAAAACGTTTCATTTCATTTCAACAAAGTATTGTGTAAAACCAGAACATCAGAATCATAGTTGTTGTTTAATTATAATAATTAAATCAAAATCTTAGATGTATGTAATTGATACTTTAATATTAAATTATACCTATGCAAAAAGGAATGAATTTTAGAAAGTGTTATATTATACCACTTTTCTTTATATATGTCATAAATATTTTCCCCCTTATTTTTACTTTATTAGACATATAAGTAATTAGAAAATTCTAATCCAATTTTATTTTTAATAGATAATTATATTAAAATAGAAAGTAATAAAGAATTTAATGTAATTAAAAAATCACGTAGTGGCAATTCTACTCTAGGTCAATGTCAAATAAAATTTTAATATATTATAAGCCGACAAAATTTAAAAGAACAGTTTATGGACGGTTATTATGCGTCGTTTAAGATGATCCAATGTGAAGTAGTAGTGAAAGAAAGAGATGCAAGATATTTGGCGTCATATGGTTAACATTTCGAATAAACTCGATTATAATTCTCTGACACATACGACCGTTGCTTTGATTTCTAGACAGTGACCGTTAAAAATATATAAAACGTCGATTGCTTTAAGTTTGTGAAGGGAGTGTTAATATTTGTATAAAAATGAAGTCTGCGAAATCTAAACAGAGACTTAACGATATTAGAACACCGGCTAGAAGTAAACAGAACTTATGTCAAGGGGAAAGAGATCCCGTTCAAGTGTACTGCCGTTTGCGTCCAATGCAAAGAGAAACTGATGTGTCGTGTATCAAAATATTATCACCAACCACAGTGCTGATGACACCACCAGCTACAGCTATAAGTTATAGAAATGAAGGTGCTAAAACTATGACATACACGTTCAAAGAAGTTTTCCCGCCAGAGGCTACTCAACAAGACGTGTTCGATAAGCTAGCATTCCCATTAGTTGAGGGTTTAATTAAGGGTAAAAATGGTCTATTATTCACGTACGGTGTAACAGGCAGCGGAAAAACATTCACTATGACGGGGGAACCGAACAATTGCGGTATTTTACCGAGGTGTCTTAACATTATATTCAAAACCATCAACGATCTGCAAGCCCACAAGTATATATTCAAACCTGATAAAATGAACATGTTCGATATACAATCGGAAGCGGAAGCCATGTTAGAGCGGCAACAGGAGTTACACAAATTTAAAAGTAATAGAAAGAACAATTCAAATCCAGATTTGGCCATGTCGGATAGTGATGTTACCAAAATATCCGGAGTCAATGAAGATAATCAGTACGCCGTGTTCGTGACATACGTAGAGATATACAATAATAGTGTATTCGATTTACTAGAAGATAGCCCTAATATAAATAAGAATTTACCCGTCAAAATTATAAGAGAAGACGCTGCTCACAACATGTATGTTCATGGTGTCACAGAAATAGAGATAAAATCAGCGGAGGATGCATTCGATGCTTTCTATCTCGGCTTGAAGAGGAAACGAATGGCTCACACCACTCTCAACGCAGAATCTAGTAGAAGCCATTCTGTTTTCACCATAAGACTAGTGCAGGCGCCTGTGGATGAAATGGGTGAAGCTGTGATACAAAACAAGAAGTTCCTATCAATTAGCCAACTAAGTCTTGTCGATTTAGCTGGCAGCGAGAGAACAAATCGTACAAAAAACACCGGCCAAAGATTAAGAGAGGCCGGCAATATTAATAAATCACTCATGACGTTGAGAACTTGTTTGGAAGCGTTACGAGAGAATCAAATAAGCAATGCAAATAATATGGTCCCGTATAGAGAATCTAAGATAACACATTTATTTAAGAATTTCTTTGAAGGTGAAGGTCAAGTTAGAATGGTTGTATGCGCTAATCCGAGGGCTGAGGATTACGATGAGACACTACAAGTTATGAGATTTGCTGAAGTTGCTGCCGAAGTTGAGGTGGCTAAACCTCAAGTTACCGATGTTGGAGCCACAATAGGCTTAATGTCCGGCCGTCGTAAAGCAAACAAACTTTTCAATGCAGCTAGAGATAATATATTAAGACCGGAAGCTAAAGATCTTGAATTGGATCTAGGTCTTGTGTATAGCTTAGGTCCAGACTTCCCGAGTCTAGAATTAACTAGTTCACAAGCTAATCATATAATCAAAGAATTGATGGCACATTTAGAAATGAGGATCAGTCGTAGAGAAACTTTGAAACGTAGCAAGGCTATTAAGGATGAAAAGCTAAGATCGGCCATGTTAGATCTGGAAAAGGAATCTATGGAGGTCAGAAGTGAGAACTCTTCATTGAAAAGTCAACTGGTAGCGGCTGAACGAAGAATACGAGCTCTTGAGGAACGTCTCACAGCTACAGAAAATGCATCACTCACACACCAACGTAAACTCAACGAGATCACAGAATACACTTCGTCATTAAAACGAGAATTACAAGAGAAGGAACTGCTCCTCAACCAAAATAAACTAGAAAAAGAGAAACAGAAGAAGAATCTAGAAAGAAAATATCATCACAAGATAGCGGCTGAACATGAAAAGGCTAAAGAAATACACAGCGAAAAAGAAAGATTACGTAATGTAATCGAAGAGAAAGAAAATAGGCTGAGAATAATAGCACATGCTTTGAACGGCGAGAGAGGAGATAATGATATAAAAAACACAGGCGAAGCCGCAGCACAAACTAGTGTTAGAGATTTCACTCCTGGATCTACCCCAAGAGCATTGCCGGCACATTTGCTAACTCCGTTCAGTTCTGTCCCTCATACAAGAGAAACCAGAGATACTCCGGCCTCCTCACGCCGTGGAGTCGCAATAGCAAACCCTAGACACAAACGATCGCTCTCCGCCGATGGCAAAGGCTGGGTAGAACACGCTCCAAACCAAATAGTACCTATGGGAACGGTACTCAAACCTAATATTACCAACAGCAAGTTCGTCAACAAATTAACCAACGTCAAAGATATAGCTAACTCCAAATCATCCAAGTATTGTCTAATAGCCCAAGAACAGGATACAGACGGTGAGTTAGAAACAAAATTATATAAAGGCAATATAGTTCCCACTTGTGGTGGAGGAGCTCAAGTTATTTTCAACGATGTGGAAATGCTCAAGCAATTTTCACCGACACGAGACAGAGAATCTTCTAGAAGGACATCTGGTAATACATGTGCTCGTCATTCAGGCAAGAGACGAGATACAGGATGCTCTCCACCTCAAACACCTTCGAATACCAGCAAAAAACAGAGAGTAGATGACGATTAAATCATCATGTATAATATTACCACAAGTTTGCCACATACTTTGAAGTATTTCTTTCTATTAATAATAATCTATGGAAATCTGTAATTAATTTCATACAATTGTGGTAATCCAACATTAAAGACTTAATTATGTTTTTTTCATATGGTGTTAATAAACTGACATTTCTTTCTCAAATATATATATATAGTTTTAATATTTATATTGCTCAAATAGTCACATATGTGAAACCTCTTTTGGTACTTAATCAGAGAATAAAGATAATATATAATTTTTATTATCTGTCTATAAAACTGTTAAAAATTTAAAATTTAGAATCTCAATACAATCTGACATTGTAAAGTACTTAATAATTAATGCTCTATATATTTAAGATGTTAGTATTATTTCTTTGGTATTTCTAATGTTGTACATTGTAGCATTATTTTTTTTGGTTATTATGTATTAAATAAATAATTAATATATTTAGTGACTTATTTCAATTATAATATTGTTCTTGTTATCAACAATTAAATGATAGATTTTGAAAAATATCTATATACATATATTCCAAATTTGAATTTTCTCTTTTTTTATTGCACTACATAGTTTCAAATTAAAGGTCATGTCTTGAATGCCACATCCATATTTAAGTTTTGCATATTATAAAATATATAGGTACAAATAAAGGAAATTAATATTATCTAGTATTTTCCAGACAAGTTACTTTATTCATAAGAGAAAAATGCACTGAAAAAGTAATCAAAATCTTCTATATATATAAAAATGGATTGCTGTTCCTTAGTCTCGCTAAAACTCGAGAACGGCTGAACCGATTGGCTAATTTTAGTCTTGAAATACTCCTGGAAGTCCAGGAAAGGTTTAAAAGGTGAGAAAAATTGGAATAATTGCCGGTAAAACCCTAAAAACAGCCCTGTTGTATTTCCCATACAAAAGTTTTTTTTGACATTAGATTTGACAACTAACTAATATGTCAATCATTCTGTTTGATTGAAACAGGAAAAATTATTTAAAAAAGGATTATTTATGGCCTCTAAGACGGAATAGAGTTCGCCTGGTCAGCTATACCTACTTATTACTCTTGACCAAATTAACGCGGACGAAGTCGCGGGCAAAAACTAGTTATTAAATAAAATGTATATTTCCATATTTGAATAATAAATAGTTCAAAATTAAGTTTTTATTTAATTTCATTCCAATTCATACAGCACTTTGCTCGGTCGAACATACAACTGAAAAATGTATGTACATACAAGATTATTTCATCAACCATTCCCTATTAAATTTAACTATATTTGTTGTATATATTCTAAATATAATATTAAGTTTTAAAGTCATTTTATATTGTGAATAATGTATTTATAGGTCCTTGAATAAAAATTTTATAATGAAGCGTCGAATACAAGCAAAACTTAAAAAACAAATTAAATACTTAGTGGCGCGAAAAATGACGTTTTGAACTGTCAACATTTTTTTTTAGTTAAAGAATATCTTAAATTTACCTATATAAATAGTGTGTATTTGCCTTTACTTTTTATAAACTAACTACGTTATCCCTATAATAATAAAAGCCTACGTCCTTCGTATAATATTTCCACAAAATAAATTCTTTAAACGGGAAAGAATCGCGATAACTTACTAGTGATAAAATTTCTTACTGATAATCTTAGTCATTAACTTACATTTTCGTGTATAATCGTAAAGGATTTTGTATTTGTGGATTTTACTTTGTGAATATATTCTTAGGGCGTGTTTGCGTGGTAAAACCAAACAGGCAATTAATAGTTTTTTATTAATAAATCAAATTGTAGCTACATTAATTAAAAACTGTAACTGACAGTATTGAGTTTAAGTATGAGAATTCGTGCTAAGAACACTTAAAATATGTATAATTAAGTAATTAACGTGTTTTTAATTGACATAAAGTTTTTTTATCAGTCAAATATACGTGCTAACTGACAAAGTTACGTATATTTTGATGAAAACTGTAAAAATGACTATAGTATGATTTTCTAATATTAAATAGTATCAACAGCAGTTGAGTATTGAATGTATTACTCACACACACACAAACAACACACACACATACACACAAATTAACTCATACTGACACACATACATTTGTCTTATTTAATATTAGTAATAAAGCAACCACATAGAAAGGACATTTTGCATTTTTTAATAATCACCATCAAATAATAGACATGAGAGGGCTGCTATCTTATTCAAGTTATAATTGTAGTAACAAAATAAGATTTATTTGTTTTAAAGTGAAACTTCTAGTTCGACTTGACAAGGTTGCGTTAAACGTTCAACGCGTAGGAATAAAAAAAGACGGAGAGAGAGTCAATGGGTGGTTGCTTTGTAATTTGTAAGCAATGCTTATTAAGTTTGTCTTAAACATAATTAGTTCTCTAATTTATTTCTAGTCCTCCTATCATTTTTTCAACATTAGGAAAGTTTCACTTCTTATTATTTATTATCTATATATATAAAAATGAATTGCTGTTCCTTAGTCTCACTAAAACTCGAGAACAGCTGAACGGATTTATCTTATCTTAGTCTTGAAATATTCGTGGAGGTTCATGGAATGTTTAAAAGCTGATAAAAATGATTCATTTCCGGAAAAATCCTAAAAACAGTACTTTTCTATTTCCCATACCAACGCTTTTTTGACATTAGATTTGACAACTAACTAATATGTCAATCATTCTGACGCACTTCAGAACACGGAGACACGAAAGGTAAACTCTAAAAAATGATTGATTGAGGCAGTACGAAGTCTGCTGGGTCAGCTAGTTGTGTATAAAAATAATTCAGTATACTAAAATACCCTTATAACTTCCGGGCAAGCGTAGTGCGGGCTCCCACACGAAGTTTCCAACAAGGATCCAGCCGGCTGAAGAGATGCCATACCAAAATCAGCTATCTTGATATTGTTTCTTTCATCAAGAAGAAGATTCTCCGGTTTCAGGTCGCGATGACTGAATATAAAATAAATAAATATAAATACTCCTTTGTATAATTCATATCACATTGGCTGTATAAGCAATAAATAATTTTGTTTACGTCAAATGTCAAGTGTCGAATTTGACAATTAATCTGAGCTTAAAGATGAAAAATTATATATTAAGAAACGCCACTAAGTAAAGAAGATTATATATTATTGAATGTATTACATTTCCTGTATTGGTATCGGAAGCTCCAATGACGTTTTCCTGTTCAAAATTATCCTTACTTCCTTTCTGTATTCAGATAACTCGAGGCATTATCCGTTTAAGATCATTACCACGAGTTTCAATTGTCACTACATATATTACGTAGCGTTAAAAGTTGTTCATTCATGACTTCATACGTGTAGTATTGACGTAATATTGTACGAGAACTTGGACTAAGCATTTTATTTTCCATATCTAAGAGATACTTAGATTTGAGACTATATAATACTTCATTAAACTCAAATTTGCCGCGCTTCGCGCTTTTGTAACTTGTCGACCAGAGACGCGTCACTAATGGCGGATTGTTTTAGTTTTTGTTCACTTTATAATTATTAAAACGTGTAGAGATATAATTTAGGAGGTGATATTAGTGTACTTTAATGTAATTTCTTTGTATTTTCAGGTGTAATAAAAGTGTAATTATCATAGTTAAACGATTGTTATAATATTGTAAAGGCGTGTTAAATAAAATAAAGCTTTGTATTTTCAGAGAAATAAATTGTGGTTTACTTTGAAAATCCTTAATAATATTTCTTATACAGGGTGACTGGTGAATTACTATCGATATTTGAGGACGTGATATTTGACGATCATATATGACAAAATAAAAATTAATATAACATAAATATTAATAAACTTGTAAGTAAAGTTAACCAAAAGTTATGTAATTAATTACGCATCGTGTGAACACCCTACAGATTAGGTATACACACACACACACACAGACGCGGCGGAGGCGTGTTGTTGTATCAGCACGCCGCCGCACGCGTCCACACTTGGAACACTTGGAACGTGTACACACTTTATTAATTTATACGGAAATTTGGTCAAAAATTAAGTGCCTATTTTTTTTACATAATTCGAATGAGAATCATGTACCGAGTATTCTCCTTAAATATTGATAGTAATTCACCAGTCACCCTGTATATGTATATATAGCGAATTCTTACCATATCGAATGGCTGTGACAGAAATCCAAGGCCGATATAATCTGTCTAAAGAATCTCCTCGCCTCTTTGGGCGTCAATCTCCCTTTTTTAACTAAATAATCAAAAAGTTCGCCACCACTTACGTGCTCCAATACTAGATATCTGAAACATTAAATATATAACGTTAATATAATAATAATATATTTATAAAATTAAATTAACAACTATTAGAATTATCTTATATATATCCAACTAATATTATAATTGCGAAAGTTTGTATGTGTATGTTTGTTACTTCTTTACGCTCAAACGGCTGAAATGATTTTGATAAAATTTTGTATACCGGAAGCTGAGGTTCAGGAATAACACATAGGCTACTTTACATCCCGGAAATCAGCGGGTAACACCGCGGGGTGCAGCTAGTATATATATATATATATATATATATATATATATATATATATATATATATATATATAAAAGAAAGTCGTGTTAGTTACACTATTTATAACTCAAGAACGACTGTACGGATATGGATGAAAATTGGCGGAGAAATAGATTAGAACATAGAATATTTTCAATTAGTTCAACCAAAAAAAAATAATTTGCTCGATAATATACAAAACGTATTTATTTGCTGCCACCAAATCGAAACAGTTTTTCGAGTCAGTTATACATTTTTAATTATGAAACTAACGCGTACATGAAAATAAATAAACGTATATTAAAATAAACTTTTTTAATACATGCAGTACATATACGGTACGTAAACCAAAACAATATTTTATTACAATTTCTGTCTGTCTGTTCCTACTAATCTTTGAAATGGCTGGACATATTTTGAACGGACTTTTACTGGCAGGTAGCTGTTCTAGAGGAGTGGTATGAGCTTCTTTTATAAACCAGGTTCCCGTTCACGAAATTAATTGAGTTACGGGTAATAGCTAATTTAAATATAACATTAAATTGTCTTAAAAGTAATATTTAATTTAATCACGTTTAACAGAAATTTGGATCATTTAAATACTCACTAAGCCTTTCAAGTATGTAATTTATAGTTTATAGGCGTATTTTATAAGATCGTAGGAAAAAATACTAGTAAACGTAACGTATTTATTTTGGTACGAACATATACATAGTAGTCATTTTATTAAACCAATTTAAGCTTTAAAAACACTCCATTTCAATGAGATTGAAGATATATTTTCACATGTCTTCAATATACTCAATTTAAGACGATAATTATTAAAATTCCTACTTGGTAATATTATAAATGCGAAAGTAACTCTGTCTGTCTGTCTGTTACGCTTTCACGCCTAAACCACTTAACTGATTTTAATGAAATTTGGTACAGAGATAGAGTTGACCTTGAGAAAGAACATAGGATAATTTGGAAACGCGATATAACCGAACTCCACGCGGGTGAAGCTGCGGGCGGAAAGCTAGTATAATAATATCAAAGACTTTCGCGAGTTTTAATTCAAATAAAACTAACATTACCAGAATTTATTACTAGAATCAGTTCAGTGGTTTAGGCGTGCAAGCGTAACAGACAGACAGATAGAGTTACTTTCGCATTTATAATATTAGTAGGGATAAACGAGAGATGTAATATTAAAAATAAAAATAATGAGAATGAAAATAAATAAAATATAAAATATTTTCTATGAAAATGTTCATATTTTGAGAGCTTGTTGAAATACTTAAGTTTCAAGCTTTATAACCAATATTCTTATTAGTTTCGGATCTGAAGTCTTTGAAGGAAAAGTTTCGCAACTTTCAGTTAATAAGAGGTGGAGTTATCTTTCTTTTAAGATATAAATTCTTTCGTATTTTCTTAAGTAAGTAACAGAGATTGTGGTATGCTTGTACATAATTAATAATTTAAAATTATTTAAATTATGACATAACTGTTATATGTACATTAGAATAAATATTAAAATATCTTTTTCGTAAAAAGATATAAATGTATTAATACAAAATTATGTTATATATTTAACTAGCTTTTGCCGCGACTCCGTCCGCGTGGAATAGTGACTTCCAGCAGATTTTTGGTTCTTCCCACATAGTTCCCGTTCTTGCGGGGTTTTCGGAATTGTCGAGTTCCCGCAGAATTTTCAGGATAAAACCTTTGTTTTTTTATTCACAATAAATTATATTTAACCAACAACATATTTCTTTGTTTATTTGAATACAGATTAATATTATTATGTTGATACAACTTAAACAAATTATTTCAACCAAATTAGGTACCATAATAACGATTTTTGTGAGTTAATCTTAAAAGATAGACATATACTGTCGCGGACTGTTTTTTAGATCATTAAAAGAGCTATCATTCTTTTATACATAATTTTTGTGTATCTTGAACCGTTTTCACGGCGCACGCAACGGAAGGCTTCAAAGATGAAATAATTTCTCCCGTTTTTTACACATTTACCACTATATCTTTGCTCCTATTAGTCGTAGCGTGATATTATATAGCCCACAGCCTTCCTCAATAACTGGACTATCCAACACAAAAAGAATTATTCAATTCGAACCAGTAGTTTCGGAGATTAGCGCTTTCAAACAAACAAACAAACAAACTCTTCAGCTTTATAATATTAGTATAGATTTAAGTTAATTAAGGAACTGAGTGAAAAACTGTGATTGAAATTAAAATAGTGAGTCCTATTGTTTTTGTAAAAGAAAAATAAGATATTATATATAATTCTTCTGTGAGTGTGTATGTCACTGAACTTCTCTCAAACGACTGGACCGATCTTGATGAAATTTTTTGTGTGTGTTCAAGGGGATCTGGGGATGGTTTAAATTCACATTTTTTTCCGCTGGACAATGTTTTTTTAATTAATTTTTAATTTATTAATAGTTGTTGATACAATTGTTTTTTGACATTAGATTTGACAACTAACTAATATGTCAATCATTTTGTCGCACTTCAAAACACGGTGATTTATAGCTTTAATAGGTAAACTCCATAAATATAAATAAAAAAACGTAACAGATATTTCTTGATTATAGGGCGATACGAAGTTCGCCGGGTCTTCTAGTATATATACCTATATATATTATATATATGTTATACTTACAAGTATTTCTTGTTTTCGTACACATCAGACAATCCAAGTACGTGAGGATGTTCTATCAGCTTCATAATGGCTATCTCTCGTTCGACCTTCAAGAATTTATAAAAAAAATTTAGTACTTCACTACATTATATGTAATAATTTAATTAATTTACATATAATCAATTAATTATATCTAAGTTATTGTAAATACATGTACTTACTAGCAACAGATTTAATCTTGGTCATATTCTTTTTATGTTAAGACTCAAAAAAGTCGTAAAAACATTTACAAAAAAAATTGGTGATATCAAGAGATAGATAAATATCATTTTACTGTCATTTCTAATATTTAATTTAGTTTGTTTTTTTATCTAATAATAATCTTTAATCTATTTATTACGTAAATATTTTAACACATTGTGACTCCTGGTTTTACTCGCAATTGTAATCTTCAAGTTAACTTATAGTAACAGTTATTTATATGTAATAATTTTATTATTTACCTTCATTAATACGGATTCGCTAAGTTTTTCTCTATTGATAATTTTTATGGCGACCTTCTTGCCAGTAACGCAATGCACTCCCAACTTCACGAGGCCTGTGGAAAAATAATATTGTTATGCATTAATATAAAATAAGAATAAAGTATAAAAAAGAGTTTTTTTTGACATTATCCCAAAGTAAAATGGTAAATTTATCTATAGTATTAAAAAACTCAGTTTCATTTAAATGAATATAAGCGGAAGCATTAAAAAGTACTTTAAAAATAGAGATTTTTTTTCATTTAAATGAATTTAATATTTTTATTAGCCCGTCTGCTCGTGAAAAGTAGCCGAAACGTCGAGAATACGTACCTAGTTTTTAACAAAAATAAACTCGCGTGGTACATCCGAAAAATTTTAGTTTCATTTAAATGAATAAAACTCGCGAAAACCTTCGAAATTTTTTCAAGTTAATTTATTATTATTGTTTTTTATGTTAAACGTGGCAAACGAACAGACGGCCTACTTGATAGAAGGTAGTTACCGTCGCCCATGGACATCCACAACATCTCTGTTTCGGGTGCGTTGCCAACCTTGTTTTTTAGGGATAGGGAGGGGTGGGAATAAGGAAATGGTAGGAAAGGGTAGGAATAGGGAAAGGGCAACCGGCTCTCTCACTCATCGGACGAAACGCAGCCATTAAAGGCTACTCCACGCCGATCTTCTGTGAGAGGGTTATGTAGTGACAAACTTGTGGTTGAAATAATGAAACACTATTACCTGTATCTGACACTATTATTTTCGTATACTACGTAAACGAAAAACTAAATTTCATTTAGAAGTGTACACGGAAATCGTGTATATTATTTTGTTTCTATCTTTGCTTATATTGACAATAACGAGACAAAATGAGAATATAGTTTCGGAATTATATTAAATTTAAGATTTATTTAATCTTTTTATTGCACGATCATTCCTATGATCATGTTGAAATGTCTTAATAAAATAGATTCTGCAACTTAGAGGGAGGGTTAAAGTGTTACGTAACGCAATTTGGGGGGGGGTGTACATTAAAACGTTACGATGCGTTACGAGGGGGGAAGGGGGGGGTCAAAAATCTTACAAAATTGCGTTACGTAATACTTGAACGCTCCCAAAACCCTATATTTAATGTAAAACTAGCTGACCCGGCAGACCTCGTACTGCCTCAATCGATAAATAAATACTTTTTTAATTATTTTTTTGGAGTTTACTTTTAAGCCATAAATCTCCGTGTTCCGAAGTGTGACAGAATGATTGACATATTAGTTAGTTGTCAAATCTAATGTAAATTATTATGTTTGTATGGTAAATATAAAGGGCTGTTTTTAGGGTTTTCCCGGCAATAATTAAATTTTTTTTAGCTTTTAAACCTTTCCTGAACCTCCACAAACATTTCAAGACTAAGATAAGATAAATCCGTTCAGCCGTTCTCGAGTTTTAGTGAGACTAACGAACAGCAATTCATTTTTATATATACATTAATTTAATTTTTACAAGATCAAGCTACTACATACGCAGCGTTAGCAGTTTTTCATTTTGTAAATCTTATCACATCATATTATATTACGATTATGTTGAATGGAAGACGTCCCTGTGTATTTTTTTTTCATTTTATAATAGGTATAAGTATAAAAAAACTTTTCTGAAATTAGCCACTTTATTTTCAAACCAAATAATTATGAAGTAATAGTTAAAACACCCTTCCTAATACCTAACACCCGATTAATAATGGAAGGAAGTAAAACAATATAAAAAAATTAACATAGGATTATTATATTTTGCGGCAAACGCACAGCGATTTCGTAATAAACTAAAGTTTAGACCTTTCAATAATCTATGATTCTTCTACCTGGCAATTTCCCAGCTATAGCCAGGGTCTGCCTTACATGTTGTGAATAGTTTTGGATAATTGTTTTTACGACCGGCCGCCTGCCTGACATCAACCCTCTTTGGGAATGCATTAATCACCACGCTTGCTCAAGACGGGTTGGTGATTTCAAACTTATAATTGTGAAATTATAAGTTTGGATTAATAAGAAAAATGAATATATGTATAAGGAAAATAATATATAAGGATAATTGGTATACTTAAAATTAAAATTATGTTTTAATAAATAATAAATTTCCATATGTATTTTAATTGAACATATTATGCATGTGTTACCAAATAAATTATGAAAAATCGTTTCGCACTTTTAGCTGCCGCTAGCATTCCGCCCGCAGCTTCGCCCGCGTGAAGTTCTGTTATATCGCGTTTCCAAGAGAACCTTTCAAAAGTCTGGAATAAAAACTATCCTATATTCTTTCTCAATATCAACTCTATCTCTGTACCAAATTTCATTTAAATCAGTTCAGTGGTTTAGTCGTGAAAGCGTAACAAACAGACAGAGTTACTTTCACCTTTATAATATTAGTACTGATTAATAATTATGTTTATAAATATTAGTGAGTTATATTTCTGTAATATAAATTAAGTTTATTTTTAATTATGAAAAACCATGATTATTCGATATATTATATTTATAACTGTCAAAATAATAATGAAATCTTGACATATTTTTGTAAATTTAAATGTGTATTACCTCAAAAGTTTCCTATTTCAGTTCCGATGAAGAAAAAAACGTTTCTCGTTAAAAAATAGTTATTGTTTGTAAATCCAAACAGTATGTACATATATTGAGCTGTTAATATTTTAATATATATTTAAATTTATCGTATGTTAATATTGAAAATATTATTAATTAAGTATTACATATATATCAAAATAAAAGAATAATTACGAAAAAAATAACCTTTAAAGGATAATCAAATAGCTTAATATGTGGTGTCCAAATAGCTAGTTAATTAATGACATATATCTTTATATATACATCTTCTACCTGTCATTTTCCCAGCTATAGCCAGGGTCTGCCTTGTATGTTTGTGAATAGTTTTTGGCTATTTTTTTTACGACCGGCCGCCTGCCTGACATCAACCCTCTTTGGGAATGCATTAATCAGTGATGTCTAAATACTCTTATAAAGTACATATGACTCGGAAAAATCACATTGGTACTTGCCAGGATCGAACCCGCGACCTCCCTTACGAGAGGCGGACATGTTAACCACTAGGCCACCACTGACTTATATATCTTTATATATACATATCTATTCTATATATTCATTCAGATAGTCAGTGGTAGCTTAGTGGTTAAGAGGCCCGCCTCTCATGCACGAGGGCGCGGGTTCGATCCTGTCAAGTACCAATGTGATTTTTCCGAATCATATGTACTTTAAGAGTATTTAGACATCACTGATTAATGCATTCCCAAAGAGGGTTGATGTCAGACAGGCGGATCGTAAAAACAATTAGCCAAAACTATTCACATGTAAGGCAGACCCTGGCTATAGCTGGGAAATTGCCAGGAAAAAGAAGATATATATGTAATATCATCCCAAGTAATTACGTTGTAATTTAAGACGTGATCATTTCTTCACTGTCATTTGTGAGTGAGCTCAGTTTAAGACTCAGTAGGATACAACTGTCATGAAATTATTACTGAACAGGTATGGAAATAATATTATTGTATTATATATATACATATATATAAAAATGGATTGCTGTTCGTTAGTCTCACTAAAACTCGAGAACAGTTGAACGGATTTATCTCATCTTAGTCTTGAAATGTTCGTGGAGGTTCAGGGAAGGTTTAAAAGCTGAAAAAAATAATTTCCGGGAAAACCCTAAAAACAGCCCTTTACTATTTCCCATACAAACGATTTTTTTTTGACATTAGATTTGACAACTAACTAATATGTCAATCATTCTGTCGCACTTCAAAACACGGAGACTTATGGCTTAAAGGTAAACACCAAAAAAATAATTAAGAAATTATTTATTTCTTGATTAAGGCAATACGAAGTCTGCCGGGTCAGCTAGTATATACATAAAAATATATTTTTTGTATGTTTATATTAAAATGCATATATATCACAGTACATATAAGAAAATAGGGCATATATATATATATATATATATATATATGTATATTTATTTCTGCAAATTCCCGAAATAGCTGTACCTATTGTGACGCAACTATAACTTAAAGATAGCCGATATTAATGGAGTAATTGTGTAATATCATTTCAGACGTTTTTGCTAATAAAAAAATCATTCAGCTCAAACTAACTACCGTTCATAACTGGTAAAGTGTGTAAAAGATTTAATACATACAAAATACTGTAATTTTTTTAATACACACAAATGTAGTGGATTTAAAATCACGAAAGAGGTTGAACTAATTAAAAACTCTTTACTGAAAAACATACATTGCGTACAATTCACAGTTTTTGGGCGTCTGTTTAAACAATAATAAATGTTTATGAAGTTATTTAGATATATAAATATTTAGAATAACCTTAGGACGAGTTGAACACTACATATTTATAGTTACACAGTAAATACTTAAATAGCCTTGCATTAGAATAATTGTAAAAGTATAGTACAAAATATTATATTAGAAGTAAGAATGATTATACGATTGATATTAAAGATTTATCAATTATACTCGATACTTTTAGTCGTCAGTGGTGGCCTAGTGGTTAACATGTCCGCCTCTCGTAAGGGAGGTCGCGGGTTCGATCCTGGCAAGTACCAATGTGATTTTTCCGAGTCATATGTACTTTATAAGAGTATTTAGACATCACTGATTAATGCATTCCCAAAGAGGGTTGATGTCAGGCAGGCGGCCGGTCGTAAAAAAAATAGCCAAAAACTATTCACAAACATACAAGGCAGACCCTGGCTATCACTGGGAAAATTGCCAGGTAGAAGTAGCAAACTCTATACATTCAGTAATGAGTCTGATCATAATACACGTACTAAGTTTCTTTTTGATTAAAATTATAATTAGGTTAAGTATATATTATATACTTGTCTGTTGAGTGAATTATTTTATTTTAATAAATTAATGTACGATTTTTTATATATAAATTAAATATAATTTGAAATTTTATATAAACTTAGAAGTATTTGAACAATAGAAGACATTGTTTTGGAATCTCGTCTTTGTGCAATTAAAAATATTGACTCAATAATAATAAAGTTTTAATTTAAATGACATTTACTTCTTCAACTGCGACTAAAACAAACGAAAGAACAACTAAACAAATAATAATAAAATTAATTACATTCGCGTAATAAAAATATATTATCAATAAAAGTAATATGATTTTTCTTGTTAATAAAATAATAAATGTGGTTAGACGCGTAGTATTTAATTTAGTCTTGAAGTTATTCTATTGATTTGTCAAAATAAACTCTAATTTTCATGGCGTTACAAAAACGTTTTTTACGCAAAAACATCATTGTATAACAAATACAGTATGGCGGCGTATTAGTCAAATTTCTTTTCAATAAGTTTTCCATTAGATTCAAAGAAATATATATGGAAATTAAAAGTACTTAAACTATAAACAGAAAAGAAAATTTGTATCAAATGTACATGTATTATATTTAAAAAAATCCCTCATGGAGATAT